GCACAATGAGTGAGCATCCTAAAAGTTTTAGACATAAACGGCATTTACACAGTCATCATATGTGCTTAAAAAAATATTTGCTCAATTATTATTCATAAAAAAAATTAAAAAAAAGGTTTTCAAAATAAAATGATTAATGTTAATGAGATTAAAATAATAATAAAATTTAAAGATTTAAAAATCTATATTTTTTTTATGTTACAGGAGGCAAACGGGCTCACCTGATGTTAACATCATACATAGGCGGAGGTATCACTTAAGTGGGTACACTCGCACTACCAGAAGGCTCGCAAGCGCGCTGCCGATGGACACTTCAGTGGACAGCTGGTTCAACATAATGGTGGTGCGCGGCAGAAATTGCCATAAGAAACGCTCAGTTGTGGAACGACGGACGTCAGGGTGATACGGATGGTATTTTGTATTCTGCCTTGACGTCCGATGATTGCTCAGCTGCCAGTTAGTCAGAACAACTCCTCTGAACACTCTTCATAGTTAATTCGGTAGAAGATGCAGAGAGATCCCACATAATTATTATAATTTCTCCATTTTGGGTGGTAATTATATTCATAAATTTTGATTCTTCTCTTTTTACTTTTATAAATACGGTCCCAACTCACCGGACCACCTTTATAATCAAACATTTCATAATTGCGATCAAATTACGCAACTCATAAATGTGTCATATATGAATGGCGAGAAGCGGTAGTGTTCGTAACGAGTTTTGTTACAAAATACCATTATATCTAGTGATCCCTTGTAATTCATGCCAGATGGGACCACAGACAATTATGAGCAGGTAAACTTAGTTAAATAGCTATTTTCATAGTTATAAAGTTTTAATAGGAAACACGCATTAACAGTAACAGAAATTATGTCCACATATTTTTTAGACCTATAAGATGATGGTCTTGTTATTATTCTAAATAATTTATATTTCACCATTTTAAGTTGAATAAAACAACAGAACTGCATACATATAAAAATTGATATTTATAAGTATGCAGAAAATGTGAAGTTCACACCTGTGAGAACAGTAACATAAAAATGAAACAAGTCCTTTAAGTATATTATTATGTATTATTATCAACATCCAAAAAATGGAATATATATATAGATGGAATATTCTCATGTAGCCAAGTTCACATTTCAAGGATCGTCATGCTCGCTTAAATATCATTGCTTGTGGCGTCGTCCATGCGTCGGGTTGTCTCTCTCCCTAAAATATGGCGAGGGGGCCGATGGCTGGCCATGCGTCATACTCGTGAACGGGTTGAATTCGTGTATGCGGTGATGTTAGCTATTTTGACTATGTATTTACGTGTTGTTCGCACGAGAATGTAAGTGCGGGCTCCTATTTCACCAGGTCTCCTGCTGATGAAGGACAAATCTTTGTTTTTAATTTATTTTATTATTATTTATTACTTAAGGTGTAATGTGGAACATAGTGTAATGGTTGCAGCTCCTTACAAACGTTGAGTAAAAAAACAAAAAAAAACTTGGCGATTAAAAAGAGTGGCGGAGAGTTTATTGCCAGTTATAATATGAATAAATGATTTTTGACTTCGACTTTTTAACTCAAATCATGCATCACAAGCTTACATCAATCAAGTTACAATTTATTTAACTGTTATCTCTGGATTCTAAGAGAAAAATCGAATCTTCTAACATCGCTTACAGTATATTATTTAATTAGCCGCCTAACATTGCATTTGATTGTCGTTGACTTATCGACATTGATCGTTTACTCGTTAAATACCTGTATAGTTGTGTACCTGTAATATTGCATACAAAGTCTTGTACACAATAATTGTTAATAAAACATAGATATATCGTCAAAAAATTCAAACAATGAGACAATATTTATGCAATTTCAGCCAAATTTGACGCAAGATTTTATTAATACGAAGTTAGTCCCTAATACTAATTCAATCCAGCTTGAATTTTAGAAAATAAGATACAATATTTGTCGGATGCTCGCGCGGGTTAGATAAGGCCATCCGCCCGCCCTACACCGGAAGCGTATCCGCCCGCCTTATCGGTAACGGGTGAACTTCTTGTCTCATTACACTGATACTAATGAGGTGACAATGTACTTGTTACTGTATTTTTATTATGTTGTTTCCTTACATATTGCATATAACACAATTATAAGAATTAAACCTCTTTAGTTGGTGCATGCATATAAATTTTCTTTACATTACTTTCGAGAGCGTTACAGCAATCGTATAATTCGTTCAAAAGTTTTACTTAAGTGAACATACAGGTAACACATAAACAATTACACTACCAAATATAATATGAGTTAAATATTTTAAACATAACTTTGTCATCTAATTACCACTTACCATTACGTAAAACAACATGTTTAGATGTTTCATATAAAACTCCAAAAGAAACGTTTTATTTCTGATTCAGTTAGTTTCTACTGGTTCCGTGTGTCGAACGATAACGTTATGAAATGTTGATTCTGACTACCCTTCTTACTCACTGATTTTTTCTATCATTTAAACTTTAAAGTATTAAAACCAAATCCCTAGGTTTGATTCCTGGCGAAAATTGTTTCGTTTTTGAAAGACTAGCCAGGCCTACTTTTCTATATAGAAATAATTAGTGAAGTAGATACAGTAATCTGGCTGATACACCATGGCACACCATACCTTACCGGAACGTAACTACTCATACCAATTGGTACGCCAATCGCCATGTATAACAATACTTTTATTTCATTACGTTTTATTCACAAGTAAATAAGGTTTTTTTCAATAAGGAAAACCTTTGATTTATTACAATACTTTCAAAGACGGAATTATTGTTATTGATTCTTCTCGTAATTGCCAATACATCTCATTAAATGATACCTTAATAAATGATATTACTTATGTCATCTAAGCAGATTCTTTTTCTTATTGTCTGTTATGAGTTTTGCTTTGACGCTACGAGCATTACAAAAGCTAGTAGACCAGTGCGGATAATTTTTGAAACCTAAAAAAATAATAGTAGGATGAAACCTATTGGAAAAGGAGGAGAATATTATAAAAATTAAAGGAAAAATAAATTACGGTCGATCTGAGGTCGGGAAGGGGTAGGGGGAGGGGGGAGTAGTTTAAGGGTAAAAAACGGTTTATCTCGATTTCCGGCAAAACTACAAGTCCTATCGAAGAAAGTTAAATGGCAAAGTTGGCGGTAATAAAAAGATCTAAAACTTTTGTATTCACACATTTTTCACATAACCTCAAAATTTATGTGAAAAATTCAAAAAACCAAGTTTTTGGTTTTTTATTTTTATCTTTAACAAAAAATTTTTTTTTTAACGAAATTTGGTGAAAACTTACCTTTCTATGTCCCAAATACGCTGTAATTTATTTGATTAAAAATATTTATTTGTTCACCTTATTTTGAATTAATATCGAAAAAACACCCTAATTTTCAATCGAAAATTCTGACGTCAAAATTTCAGCTTTTTTCAAAAAGTTGGTGTGCTTTCAGTTCGTTGAAATCTCTACTTTCCTATGGTAAAAAATATATATATATTACCATAGTAAATCTTCTCAGAAAATGCAAAAAATCGTATCCAGTAACGCCCAGACCCGTCATCCCCTTCCCTACTTCTCTATGAATCTTCTTTAAATTATAATCAGATGCCTATTTATTACTATTTTAAGATAACTTATATATACCTGAGTGACCTAAAAAAAAATTTAGTCTTTAGATGGGCTAAAATTTTCGTATTTCATAGAGAAGTAAGGAAGGGGATGACAGGTCTGGGCGTTACTGCATACGATTTTTTGCGTTTTCTGAGAAGATTTACTATGGTAATATATATATATATATATTTTTTTACTATAGTAAAGTAGAGATTTCAACGAACTGAAAGCACACCAACTTTTTGAAAAAAGCTGAAATTTTGACGTCAGAATTTTCGATTGAAAATTAGGTTGTTTTTTCGATATTAATTCAAAATAAGGTGAACAAATAAATATTTTTAATCAAATAAATTACAGTGTATTTGGGACATAGAAAGGTAAGTTTTCACCAAATTTCGTTAAAAAAAATATTTTTGTTAAAGATAAAAATAAAAAACCAAAAACTTGGTTTTTTGAATTTTTCACATAAATTTTGAGGTTATGTGAAAAATGTGTGAATACAAAAGTTTTAGATCTTTTTATTACCTCCAACTTTGCGATTTAACTTTCTTCGATAGGACTTGTAGTTTTGCCGGAAATCGAGATAAACCGTTTTTTACCCTTAAAACTCCCCCCTACTCCTTCCCGACCTCAGATCGACCGTAATTTATTTTTCCTTTCATTTTGATCATATTCCCCTGCTTTTCTAATGGGTTTCATCCTACTGTAATTTTTTTCACTTTTTATTTATTTTAAAGGCTATCTGCACTGGTCTATAGTGTCTAACATCGTTATATAATAAAACTCGGAACGGAAGTTCTTATTAATTGTCGAACATTGGCAGTACAACGTTTACGTTGTACTATCCCTAAATTTATTTAGGGATAGGCACAAAAAGGTTGTGTGATCTATCTGAATATAATATTAAAATACATAAAAGTAAAAAATATAATAATAAAATAAATATATATAAAGAAAAAAATTCTTTGTGAACGCAAGTTAAAGCGAAAATATTGAAATTCATTGATAATAGAGCGAATGCGTTTAGCTAGATTTTTACAAGGGAATGGGTGCGGGAAACAGCTATCCATAAAATAAAACCTGGAAAGGATAAGGTGCGTGACTACAGTCAGGCAGGTTCATAATGTTCTCATTTCATGTTGGAATTTCAATACCTTTACCGTGTTGTATGGAATTCAATAAACCGTACTCATGAACTTTCTCTGTTTAATGAAGGTTCAAATTCATTCCTAGCCTTCCTACTTTAACTGTAATAAAAGTAGTATTTACTGTATTTTTTGAACAAATAAAACTTTAGTGTATGTTTTTATATGTTATGTTAAAAGAATATAATTAATTTTCTATAAACATTATAAAATGAGTAATCCACGAACAACTGGTTCTGTAATCATGATCGCTAAAATGAATGGTTCGTTTTAGCTTTTAACCACATGTTATATCTTGTGAACAAACAATAAGAAACATTATCTAACACAAAATATTTTACAGTAGATCAACCACAATCTTTGTGATCACATCAATATCAAATCAAGGCATTTGGGGTTGACCGGTATTTTTATAAGATCACGTACCGACATTTCGCAAGAAACGATGAAGTATTAAACGCTGACAAAATTCATTCATAGAATTTTTATACAGTTGAAACTTAATTTTAGCGGTTTCGAGAAGTTATTGATTCAAATGAAATATGACTTACACGTCACACAAATCTTAGTATTCAGATGGTTCTATACCACACGAGAAACGTAGAGAAACTTACTTGGTCATTCATTTTTGTATCTAGATTTATTTTATAATTAAGTTTTGAGCATAGTTTAGCAAATCAGGATTAACTGTGAACAAAAGACATCCTAGCGCTCACTTTTTGTTATAACTTTTATTTATAATTTTTTTAAATTTATTTTTTGCTTTTAAAACAAAACACTACGTTTGAAAGACTACTTAAACCGATCTTTAAGTATATGGACAGTATGGGCATTAGCATTAAGTCCATCTAAACAAGAAACAATTCCCGCTTCAGTAAACACATGCTTAGATAACAAAAGCACTGTCTAAACCACTGCGTTGTGAAGGCTTTTGACGAATTATTCAATCGGGGTCACTTAGTGGTCAGTTAATGGCTATCTACGCTTTGTATTATTAAGTAAATTTGCCCGCACCTTGACTTAGAGGGTGACTTTGATATTGTCTTTTCGTACAGTTTTTTTTTTCGTATTATTACTAAATATATAAAAGATAATTATTAAAGACTATTCAAGATTGTGCCAATTAAAACGTGTGCTTTAACTTCAAGGATTTGCGCCACAGACAAGCAAGAGTATATTACACTTGCTTCTGAGAGTGCCGAGAGTCCATAGGCGGCGATGTCACTAAACAGCAGGTGAGCCTTTGGCCTCTATTTTATTAAAAATTAAACCTCTCAGATTCTGTCAGGATTCTTTCACTGTCCGTAAATTAAGAAACTCATGATGAACTTTTTACATTATGTAGACTTCTTTGCTAATCGTTAATTATAAATCTATCTACAAAATGATACTATTCTTTCCAACAACAATTTGGAAAAATAACTGGAATTTATTCCGCGCTGTCGTTACAACGGAAAGCGATTTTTTAAATTCGTTGCGCAGTTTTCGAGGAAGTGCATTTGACAAGTGCGCCATTATCTCTGCGCGTTTTTGTAAAAAAATACTTTTTTTGTCTCATTATAAAATATACAATAAATATAAAAATATGTTTGAATTATTTAGAGTAGCAATATGTTATATAATTACAAATACCAAAATTAAATAGGATAATTCATAATTAAAATAATATGAGAGTGATTACATGTTCATTTGTTTGTTTTTTTTGTAATTTATTTCATATTTTAACTCACTAACTTGAGTTTATTATTTACTCACATTATGAATTTCGTATGGTATTCTTCAAAAATTGTGTTTATTTTATATACAAAGGGTAAAGTTAATTTTTCAATTAATTTTTTTTTGCTTACAAAACGCCATTAATGTAACACGGTAAGCTGGCCCGTTTCCATAAGACCACCAACTTTTTATAATATACTTTTTTTTATTGTTTCATGACTTCAGTTCAGCGATCGCCATTTTCTCGCCTAACATACATAATGATAGCCTGTAGGCAGTTTGGTTTATACAGGTTCAATACCAAAAACTTACCGCAAACCACTTTAAAATGTACATCACAAAGCGACATACAATATTCAGCAACACTGTGCTACATAAATTTAGGATCAAAATTTGTGCAGAGCGACACTGCCACATCTTTTATTGAAAGTTAATGTTTGAAGGCTTTTTAAAATTCTGAAGAATATGAAGACATTCTAAACGCCAGAGAAGCCTGCTTCATACTTTAAAATCGTTTTCTGTATCGCCAAATGTATACTCTAACATTTGTATAATTTCCTCATATATATGCTATAGATATAGCAATTGGCTTTCTGTTGTATTTCTAAAATGTATGGTATCTAAATTATGAAAGAAAAAACGAGTTAAATAATATTTGTTTGTTGTAGTATTTAGACAACTTTGAAAGGCCACACTGAAAAGTTTATATATTAAAAAGAGCTCATGATTTAATTCACAATTATACAATTTAACTCACAATTTTCTCTTACCTCAAAATTACTTTCGCATCACAAAGTAATTAGTGTAATTATTCCACCTACTCATAATCAAGATACGAGGGTTTACGTAATTAAATCTGAATTTCTGATAAGCAGTGAAAATTAAAAATTATGATTGTAATAATATTTTTTACTTGTTCTAATTAGATTGGAGCAAATTTTAAAAAACTAAGGTCAACTGGAGCGACAGCGTTAGGTTAGGTTGTAGGAAGGTGGACCAAAGAAGCCTAACTTTGTATTGATTTTTGAGCACACTGATAACGGACAAATGCCAGAACAAGGTCAACAAACATACACCATACCCGAACCGTACTTACGCACGTTAATGTCGGTAAAGATATATCTTATCTCAAGATAAGTCCCAGGATATAGATGTAGTAGTTCGTAGACTGGAAGAAGACCTTTTATTATATATTGTTGTAAATAACGTGAAGTAGAGAGACACAAATCATTTAAAAGTTTAAGATTTTTTACATGTTCGTGCCAATATCGGGTTATTCGAATTTGACGATCTTCATCTTCGCAATAAAATATAGCCAAACTATATTGTTATATATACAAATGGTATTTTGGACTTAAAATTAAAAATTAACTCGAATTTCTTTCTTTCTTTCTTTCTTTCATCCGGACACGCTACTAACTTCACAGCCTAATTTTCTCACGATGTTTACCTTCCGGTGCAAGAAAGTGTTGGTGTCAAATGTAAAAAGAAAAATCTGTTCATGCATAACCGATCTTTAAACTCACGATATACTCGTTGAGAATTACACAATTCAACACAACATCTCTAATAAACAAACGATTAAATTAATATTAAATATCAATAAAGCCTTGACCACAACTAAACTGTCTATATCTAATATGTCTACAAAATTTCGATATATTGTCAATGTTATTTGATTGTAGTTAATGCAGTATTTTCTGTGACATAGTTATCACATTTGTGTAAAACTGCCAAATGCGGGGAGTTTTGTTTATTTTGTGACTATGGATCGAGGTTAGTGGAAGTTTCTACATATACCTGTAAAATCGACGAGTAATAATAATTCTAAAAAATTACCTATTAATACCAAATATTTTAGAATCTTATTATTTTATCTGCTTTATTAAAATCTATAAATACGATACTCTATTAATTACAAATGCACTTGAGACTTCTAAACCGCTTAAGTTAGGTAAGGTAGTTAGTTATTTTGGTCAAGAGATAGACACCATAAAAAGTTGATTTATTCCTTCAGGAATAAAACATATAGTTATTGATTAAATTAATAAAAACTACAAAAACGATTCAACTAATTTCCCTAGTGCGTGGATGAATACTTTATACATGTATGGCAAAGACTGAGGTTTTAACAGATGTTATTCTTCAAATTGTTTGAAACAGTCTTAACAATCCATTAAGGGCCACGCCCTGGAGATTAAACTAAAATGCTTTGCGATGCACAATGCAATTACGTTGAACTATTTGCTAAGCATTTAGAACATTAGTCACTTAATGGCGGTGACAAACTGAACAACTAAATAACTAAACAAATGCATTGTTACGTTCATACTCATGCAACGGTGCGTATGCATGCATATGCTTTTTGTGTAAATTAATACCAATAATGGGACTGATGGCAGTAAAAACTAAATACCATTTTGACATTAATTCCCCTAGGTATTAAGCATATGACATAACTCTACGTTTGTTACTTATTTCAATTCTACCAGTCTTAGTAACATAGTTCATCGTATTGCTGAGACTACCTGGTACCATACTGATGAGGAAGCATACTAATAATATCTTAAAAATTTAAGTTGTTTGAATAACATGAATATTCCGAAAAGCACTTATACTTTAATTGTAATCTTCCAATAGTTTCTATTTAAAAATATCAAACTTAACCTAACATTAGTAATACAGGAATAGAATACGTAATATTTTCATTATGTACGAAAACTACCTATAACAATAGTCAATAAATATAATTTCATTGACTCAGGCGCACGTCCATTATCATCAGTTGATCATCGCACACATTTTACCGCGTTTATTTGAGTGTAAACATTAAAATGTTAACATATAATAGAAATTCCCCATGGGCAAGTATGACGTTTAAGTAAATACTTACTAATAATAACTCTAACTCACATATTTCTCAAAGCTTATATAGTTTCGTTATTTATTAAGTATCTATGTGCCTATTTAGGCTACGATAAAGTGAATATTTTACAAGTTGCCACGCCAGCACATGTTTCACATCCCGTTACTTGTTACGTTGTAATGGGGTATGCGACAGTCACGTATGTGTTAATTTCATTGCAACGAAAAAGCAAGTAGGTTTCATTCCTGTACCTTCTATACTTACAAGTTCAAACAATAATAATTTCACCAGTCATTCAACCCAGAATAGAATGTCTTCAAATTCTTAACCACCTTATAGTTTTCTTTATGGGTTGAATCATCAATGACTCGAGTGGGTGAGCACAGCTGGTATAGACTAAATTACAAAATTTTCAATAAAATAGAAATCATAATATATCCAATTGTAACTTTCAGACATAGAACGAGGTATACCCGAGGAAAGTGAAACCTCGCCATTGCTCAACGACAGGTCTGAACAGGCAACAAGCAATGAAAGGTACTAATTTTTCTTATTTGCGTGAGCAAACTCTCAATTACCTCATCCAGCTCATCCAGATCAGCAAATCCAGCCAGATTTTTTGGCTAACATGTAGATAAATTGGACAATATAATTAACAGCATTAAAAGCAATTTACGTTCTAAATATTTAGCACAATAGTTGACGACACTTACTTATTTTTTATTAATTTATATATTTATTCCTTGAATTTTGGGGAAAATTTAACGGTAAAACCTAAAAACCCGTTTCATAAAACATATTAAAGTCGGAAGTTAGCGGGGTCAGTTAGTAATATATAAATATGACGGAACGCAATTTGAATTGAATATAATAATGTTACAGAAAGCATAGACCCTACCCACCACTCAGCCTGGCTCCATCATCAGTGCTTTCCACCCCCGATTCATCTCCCGCACCAGACACAGCTTGTACTTGGCCAAAGAAATGGCGACGAAGCGATCGCCGCACCAGAAGACTTAATACTCAATTGCTAGAAGCAATAGAATCACACAATGTGGATGAGGTTGAAAGGTATATATTGTATTAGCGAAGGTCAAACAACTTGTATATACGAATCTATAACCAAACTTATGTTCCTGGAAATATGACAATGGCAAATCATTATACAGAAAACAGCTATTCTTTCGTGGCGTTTTTAAGCACGCTAGTGAAACAGATTTAAACCGAAATACACTAACAAGAATAAAAACACCTTCAAGCAGCAAGCACTGATGAGTAAAATTAAGTTTGAATAAAAATTACATTTACCCCATTTGTTATAAGTAATTGTATCTTCGTGTGACGTTTGGTACTCAAATTTTACAAATTGATACATAAATAGATATAGGATTAGTAGTTAGTAAGTAGCTAGCTTGCAATATCATGAAATACTACCTACAGTTGAAATTATATTGTGATACGTTATCAAACTGTGCGTCCAAAGTAGCATAATTTTCGTTCTTTAGGTTACTAAATTCTGGTGCAAATCCAAACGCAACATGCCGCCTTGACATGGTATCAGCATGTCACATAGCTGCGATAAATGGTGGAGACTCACTCGGTATTCTCGCCAAACATGGAGCCGAAAAGCATCGGCTGGACGTCCTTGGAAGAACTCCATTGCATCTTGCAGCGTATGCTGGAAATGCTCGCCAAGTTGCTATTTTGTTGGGGTTTTCCGAAGGTATGTTTTTTGTATGTTTAATTTCAATATGCTTAAAACCCACTATGCTGTAAATTACTAAATGTTATAAAAAGTTGAATTACCTTGATTCTGTATCAATGGTTGAATTCCTACCTTGTTTCCGCTAGTTGTCCGCTAGATCAGGACTTGCTATCCCTTATGTAATAGTTAAATAGATCTTTAATAGGAGCTTTTCCAATAACAAAGCATGCTAAAAACATATTTTACTCTGGAGGCAATGAAATTGTATAATTTAGCCTATATCATCAAGACTAACTAGGTCTTCCGCATCTTGAAAATGCTTTATAAATCAGGAAACTTTAAATCACTAGACAAGACGTCGTTTCAATACAAGATTTACATAACAATATCGTCAACTCCCTAAACTTTAAATAAAATAAGTTTAATAATAAATGGTAGCAAACTTCCGCACACAAATATTTTACTCAACAGAACAAAAACCCGTTGCTTTCAAAACTTTTCATATTAAGCTGGCCGGTCTTGCTAGAGGAAATTGTGCGATAGATTTAAACAAAATACTACGGGCGACAGTAATGAGTTTTCGAAAATATATTAAAATATATGAATGCATTTCTCGCCTGAAATCAAATAAATAAAACTGTTTATGATTGATATTACGAAGGCTGTACAGCTTGCCAGCCAGTGGACTGTGAAATGTATATTTAAATTTATATGTTATAAATGTCAGAAGTATTTGTATAGGATATTTAGTGTTTTATTAGGAAGGTGAAATAGGTAACAAATATCGTGGTGAGAATTGAACTGAACAACCCTGTGGTTCCCTAACCCCTTCACCCTAACACATATAGTCAATTAATATATATAAATAACGAGATGTTTGCACCAAGAGACCTAAGGTAGGATCAGAGGTTCAAGGGGGTGGGATTTTATCAAAGTTATCGGATGGGCTCACCACTTTAAATACGGGCCTGAAGAAGTCTTCGCCACTTAAAGAGGAAGCAAGAAATGAATAGCACAGAGCAATATACTAATCTGATTTGTTGAACATAAATGACACTACTACTTTCTCTCTTCTTAATTGTATACTGCTTTCACATATTCACACATTCTTGTGCGCTGAGCATCTCGCACCTTCAGCTACTAAAATTTGGGACAACGGCGTCGGTCAGGACAGCGGTTGTTGTTTAAATGAAATCTGAACAAAGGCTTTCTTTATATTCATAAATAAATCTGTTATGTGCATGATAGAGTCTCGATTACTGGCACTTTTTATTAAGTACGTACGTATGGGTATTTAACTAAATTTCCTTTACCATTTGTCAATAAATAAATTTAAATCGTACATTAAAGTAAAGCTGTTTGCTAAGGCCTATTAAAATATAAATGAATACCGATCCTAGAGCTTGGATATGAATTGCTCCAGTAAAAAAGAGGTAACGCGACTGAAGCCACGAATCTCTCAGCTGCATTTCCAGACTCTGGGGCGATCGTCAACATCCACGACTGTTTTAATGTAAAGTGGGAACTTGCAGTAAATGTTTATTTCTTTCTTGACGTTCATAAGTGTACATTGTTTTACCTATATGAATAAATGATTTTGACTTTGACATCAAAAGATATTATTCTCTATCAATAATGAACTCACACGGTCTTATTAGTAATAGTAGGTATTGTACTGATTACCATTATTTATAAAAATACCTTGGACGAGGTTGTAGCGTATTTCTTAAGCACCGAGGTGTAGCAGCGTGGCCTGTGTACTGTAAGATCATGTATATTGGTATAATTATCTAAATAATATAAAAACATTCTGTATTAATAATTCTTTTTCACAATACGTTTTTTCACATTTAATAAAATTTTGAACAACCAAAACCCTGGACCAATATCTGTTGTAACTACATATAAACAGAGAATTGTACGACTTTACAAATTTAAATGGTCAACATAATAAAATTTCTTTAAAGTAATATAATATCAAGCCTTCCTCATGACCACAATTAAATGAAATTCATGATCTGGTGCGACCACTGCTTCTGTCTTCTTGGAGACCAGACGCAAAACCATTAACTCATCCGTCACGTCCTGGAAGTAGATTTTTTATATAAAACAAATCACTTACAAATACGTTCAAGAAAGCGGTCTAATCTGAAAAGATATATATTCCTACTTCCCTTCAGAAGAAGTCCAATTAATATACAAGTACTAGTATAGATTCTATATTTGCTTCTTTTATAAATCTAAACGGTATAGACTTATTCATTTATTATTAAAAAAACCAAATTACTTACAATTTCTTTAAGAGCATTCGTCGCGTGATGCGATAAATTTCTCATATGAGTGGAATAGGTGGCCGCTGTCAAACTGTCCAGAGTCGTGGTCTCCGGAAACCCTTCACAGTTCACGATAATCGTCCCCACGACATTGCCATTTTCGTTTATTCGGGTCATTGTGTCCGTTGCTAAAGGACCCTGTAAAAAAGATTGCAATTATAAATGGAATTATAATGTTATTTATTAACAAAAAGCATTGTGAAAGAATAAACAATGGCGCAATTCACTCGATTATGATTGGCCAATAAGATATTAATAGCCCCTAATTTGCACTTTAGATTTGATACATCTTGTAAGAATTATTTAGCCAATATCTTGAAATCAAATAATTCCAAAGCTTGTTTATTATTTAAATTAAAATGAAATATCGGAGAGACTTTATATAGGTACATAAGAATATAATTATAGTTGAGGAGAAATGAGGACTTAATTTTTTATATGAAAAGAGTGGCGGAAAGTTTCTTGCCAGTTCTTCTTACCCGTTCTACGCCCTTGACTTGCGAACTGGTAGTAAATGTAAATTTACAATTAATTTAACTTGACAATTCAAAAGTGTACTTGGTTACCCACTTGAATAAAGATATTTTGAGTTTGAGTTTGAGTCTGTAAATTGCCCAATATGAAATGCCCATCATATTTTACGAGACCCATAAAAATATAATTTAGATTGCTTTTAAGTGTCTTAACGTGAAATGGAGATACCTAATAAAATGTTTATGATGCCTAGTTCATCGTTTTTTGGAATTTTCAGCACTCACCATAAAATTCTGAGCAATCTCCATGATGCATTAAAAATACCTCTGGGGCTTGAAAATTTCCAAAATTAAAGTCGCTTACAAAACGGTTTTTGACGAGTGTAATTTGATTTCGTCAGATTCGTAATTAGTTTATTCTTCCATGTCAAATGAAGCTTCCTTTCGGCCTGTGCGAATAATAAACAATAATTAAATAAGGTCTACGTAAAACAAAATTAAAAATGTAATTTTTAGACAAGTGTAAATTATTGAAATATTTCCGTAAGGAAGGAATACCGCATACAAACAAACATACTAATATTGAAGTCCTTTATTTGCGTGTTGTTCCCACGAGAATGTAAGTGCGTGCTCCTATTTCACCATGCCTCCTGCTGATAGAGGACAAATCTTTGTTTTTAATTTATTTTATTATTATTTATTAAGATGTCATGTGGAACATGGTGTGACGGTTGCAGCTCCTTACAAACGTTGTGTAAAGCGGAGAGTTTATTGCCAGTTCTTCTCTTCAGTTCTACGCCCTCAATTTGAGAACTGGCACTAAATGTAAAATTAGAAGCATTTAATGTATTTTTTTTTGACGTTCATAAGTGTACATTGTGTTACCTTCATGAATAAATGATTTTAAACTTTGACTTTGACCTGCGAATATGTGATATACTAGACACACTTCCATCCCTATCTGATCATCAAAAACTATAATTTTTATACCTAAATAAAATAATTCAAACAATTATTTTTTTACCTGGGGTTGAACGACGAATCTCAACTGAATAAAAAATTCTTCAAATTAACTACAATTAAGGTACTAAATTCCATACGGTGGTGTCGCAATATATCGTAAAATATGTCTTGTACTTCTTCCTTAATTATTTATGACTTTAAATCATTACAGAAATGCAAAATCGCGTTCAATCAGAGGACATGTCATCTGATGTTGAAGAAGACGTAAAAAACTTGTGTCCAGAGTCTCAAGCAATGGTAAATGTACGCTGCGATGACTCAGATGTGAGCCGGACGCTTCCTAGTAGCTGGAAGGACAATATTGACCATAGTTGTCTCCAGATTAAAGGAACGGTGGGTCTTTACTCTATACTGTTTGAAAGCATAAAAAAGTGGAGAATAGTTTCGTGTGTCAGAAGTAACATCTAACCCTTACATTTAATTTTGCAGTTACCACTTCTTCAAACAGGCTGGACACCATTACACGTTGCCGTATCTTGCGTTAGAGGTCACTCCACCAGGCTTCTGTTAGCTGCTGGAGCAGATCCAAACATTGTGGATGCACAGGGTCGTACGCCACTTGACGTGATTGCGTCAGCATATTATCTTGACGTTGATATCAAAGCTGACAAGTTAGTATAAATAGATTTGCGTAGCGCCAGCGACTCTGGTCTGACTGGTATAGGTAGACATATGAGGTAGATACCTACTATTACTGACCAGAACCGATTCAGTGATTTATGTGTACCATGATACAAAACTACATTCACTGCTAGTGTACTATTCATAATCAGAAATTATTACATTTTGCAGATTTTGGCCATAAATCTCACACAGTTTTTCTAATGTGAAAAATCTCGTTATTTCTTTTAGTTTCGCAGAAATAATTAAGATGCTTACCAAAGCTGGTGGAACATACAACACCATGAAATCAAAAGAACTCGATAACATCGCAACTCCACTACACACAGCCGTGGAACTAGAAAATATTAATGCAATAACCACACTTTTAGACATTGGTGCAAGTGTGAGCTGCTTAAATTCGGAAGGACAAACGCCGATGCACTTATGCGTTAAAAAGAGGTTACACGAACCTTTACAGGTAATCATAGTTAAAGCTGCTGTCACCCTACTGTCAGCAAGGCATTCTATTATGTTTAGTCAGAGCTAAAGACTCAATATCAGGAGCGATAGAATCTAACGCTGGTCTATTTGTGTTAAAGTAAAAACACTTTTATAGATTAATACAATTTCTTAGATAAAGCGTTCGAACAGATCTTACAGCTAATAAAATCATACGGCGCAGGTTATAAGGTACAATCTAACATTTCAGGTGTTGGCCAACTATGAGTATTTAAATGCAGATCCGCTATCAGCAGTGATAGATGTAAAGGATAAGGATGGCTATACAGTACTTCAAGAGGCTATCGAAGAAGCCTGGGTGCCCGGCGTATGCATTGCTTTAGAAGCCGGAGCCGATGTTACACTTAAAGTATGAGTAATATTATATGAGATCCGTAATCTTTATAGTGTAAACTTAAATTATATTCAATTTTTAGGCATATGATGGTCAAACTACGGTTCATTCAGCAGCTGACATCGGAAACATAGATGTGCTATTGGAAATATTAAGTGTAGCACGACAAAAAGGCATAATTGACTGCCAGAATGAAGATGGTGAAACAGCATTATTTAAAGCAATTATCAATGGCAATACAAACTGCGTTAACGCATTATTGGAAGAAGGAGCGTCTATTCAAATTAAGTTATCTGGAGAGGTGAGCGTGCTACATAAAGCTGCGGAGTATGGTCATTCAGAAATATTAAGGATTCTATTGGAGCACAACGAGGGGGAAGCTATATCAATGATAGACTCGCTATCTGCTAGAGATTGGAGAGGGTTTGGCCCGATACATTCTGCCGTAATGAGCAATAGTGTTGAATGTGTCGAGCTTTTACTTTCGAAGAATGCAGATGTGAGATTAAGAACAACGGATAGTCCACATTTTTGTTCAACGCCGTTACATCTCGCTGCTATGAAAAATTTTATTGATGTAGCAAAATTTATTGTAAAGTTTGATAAAACTACAATACACGAAGTGAACAGCAAAGGGTGGTTTCCTCTACATACCGCCAGCCATCACGGCTGTAGAGATATTATTACATTATTACTTAAAAAAGGCGCAGACTTATCAGGGTACACTGATGGTCCCCGAAAATATAGACAGACAGCTATTGACATGATTTTAAACACATTGTCCATGCCAACAGAATTCATGTCTGAGGTTTTTGATTCCTATATAAATTCGAACTGTCCCAACTTCCACGACTCAAACTGTGAGGTCAACATTGACTATAGAATACTTATTCCCTCAGTTTGTGAAATGGAGCAAATGAAAGTAATTGAAGCTCTTCTCAAAACTGGCAATAGATATGGACAAAAGAAATTACTTGTACATCCGTTAGTGAAGAGCTTCTTGCATTTGAAGTGGAAAGCTTTGCTACCATTTTTCTATGTTATCGTTATTTTATACTCCATGTTAGTTTCTTCGTTAACTATTTTTACGATGTCTGTGTTCTTTTATAAAGATACAGCTAGCAATCCACCTGATTTTCTATCTCCTGTTATTTGGGCAAATGTTGTGTATGTATCCGTGGTTTTAATAATACTGCAGGTAAATATATATGATTACCTTTATTTTCACTTTAAGTATTTTAAGTATTTAAAAACAATAAAAAAATTAAATTTTATTACAGGAAATATTATACATGAATGTAAGAAATAAAAGATATTTTTGTGAAATGGAAACATGGATAAAATTCGGATCGATTTGTCTTGCCGTTATTCTGCCAATATCTATAAACTTAGCTGAGACTGCGGACTGGCCTAGACATATAGCTACTTTAGCACTCCTTCTCTCCTGGATAGAACTGATGTTTCTATTATCTCGATTCCCCAGTTGGGGCTACTATGTTCTAATGTTTGGAAAAGTAGCTATCAACGTTATCAAAGTGAGTTTGTTATTCTCAATATTACAGTTATTATTATGGAATATATATTACACCTAAACCTATTAAATCATGAATTAAGAACTATATTAAGTCAATTCACTTTATTATTAGAAAATGGTAATGGTGCACTAAGAAAACTTTACCAGAAAAAAGGGCCAGTTGTACTACAACGTTTTAGGTCTGGGACTTAGATGTCTGTATCTATGATAGTTTCCTTCACCGTACGAGCAGTTTTACAAAGCACGACCTTAATGTTGGGGTATAGGTTTTTTATTATTTTAATAGTTTAAGCTCAAGCCACTACTATAAACGGGAAATTATTGTTATACATAATATAGGAATTTATATACATTATAAATATACTTCTTTCCTTTTTTCAGATTTTATTAACATTCGTCTTTATCATCGTTGGATTTTCGTTAAGCTTCATGATACAGTTTCATACCCAAATTCCATTTGAGAGTCCATGGGCTGCGTTTGTTAAAACCGTGGTAATGATGACATCAGAATTCGACTATCAATCGCTTTTCGATCAAGAAAACTCAAGAGAACTTGCTACTTCTCTAATTGTTGTCCGTTTTATTTTTCTTATATTTCTTATACTGGCAGCTATTGTAATCATGAATTTAATGGTAGGTGTCGCTGTCAACGATATAAATGATTTGGCAATATTGGGAAATATAGACAGATTGTCTAAACAGGTGCAGTTTTTGTCCACCCTAGATAATTTGGTTTATAACAGGGTTTTTATCTTCATTTTACCGAAAAGAATAATAGAAGGCATCAAAAAGAAAAGGCGGGTAGTTAACATGATAATACTTGCACCGGGAAAACCAGAATGGAAGTATTATAAGGCTCTACCGACACATCTCAGAGAAGCAATTTTCACAATCGCTCAAGAAAAAATGAAACAAAAAGACGACGAAATAAACATGGAAGAATTCAAGAAGAAAATTGATGAAATGCATACGGCTGTTACCAATTTAGAAAATAATAGTGAACAATCGTCCGATATAGTAAAACCAGAGAAACCGTTAGTACAAAAAATGAAATATGATGAGATTATGAAACGTTTAGCTGTGTTGGATCATGGGATGGATAGTGTTAAGGATGAAATCACAAATTTAATAGAAGAAACAAAAACTCCGGTTAACGATTTGCGTAAACAAATAACCCAAATATCGACAGAAATTGAAACTATCAAACAATATTTAATTCGATTAGACAACAAATTAAGTGAATAATAAAATATATTGAAAAAATATGTTCTTTTATAAATCGATATTTGTAATGTTATTTAAAAAAATTGTAAACATGTGAAAGAACGTATATATATTATTTTAAATAAATTATCATTAAAAATTTACTTTGGAATTTTTATAAATTAAATTAAAATTTAATTCGTGTCATCTTTACCAAAAAGATAAACGAATTTACGTCTCGTGGGTTTGCCACTGGGTCAAGTACCATAAGAACAGAAAAGTTCCGGGTGACAAAACTTAGTTTATTTTCTTTTTTGAAAAAATAACGCATGACAAGAAGTAAAGATATCATCATCAAAGATAATGCGCCTAAACTTACATTCATATTAAAGTACTTAGGTCCCTAAGTCTGACCATTTTGTACCTCCTTTCCTTGTTCATAATTGAAGTCGTGATCAAAACAAAGAAACACAGTATTAATATAATAAATAACATCTCTTATTTGATTTTTTAAATATTTAAAATACGAATGTATCAGGTTTACAGCGGTGCGCGCGCGCATGTGGCCTTCATTAAGTTATGACCGATCTTTGTTTACTAGTTAGTCATGCGATAACACACGAGAGACTCTGGTCGTGTAAACTATAAGATCTGAAAAGAAGTGGCAAAAACAGAATGGAACTTAAATAACCCTTAAGCAGAAGTGAATCACAAACCGGACAACAATGTTTTCTTCGTTGTTTTGCAAAGGTGAGATTTACAGCTTAACTAGGCTTTTGCGTGTTTATTCAATAAAATTGCAGCTCGCTGATTTCTGTTAAAAGGAAAATGTATTATTTAGCAATAATAGATTAATCAATATATAACTATTATTAATTAAATTTACACCATATTATTATAAAATAATTTTTACGTACTAAAGCATATACTTTATAGCACTTTGACAAACAAATACAATGTTCGATGAAAAATATAAAATAAAGATATATTCAAGGGCGAATTGTTATCTATCAACGTGAGTGGCGTTTAATTTAAATATACAGTAGAAATATAACTGTTTTTTTAATGTGACAGGAGGCAAACGGGCAGTTAAGTGATGGACACTCTCATTGCCAGAAGGCTCGCAAGTGCGTTGCCGGGTTTTTAAGAATTGTACGCTCCTTTTTTGAAGGACTTTTAGTGTTAGAGGTACACCAAATGAAAACCGAAATAGAATTCACTGTCTTTATTGTCCTCTGACTTACATGGCGGTTATAGGGCGACTGATTGATCCACGTGCAAGTGGAATTACGAAATAATGATAAGTAGACAATATTACAAATGGAATTACGAAATTTCTATATAGACAATAATTACACCTCTACAGACTTGGTTCGGAAATACTTGGGGCTGCTGGTTCCACATAGTGGTGGTGCTCGGCAAAAGCTGCCTTAAGAAACGCTCGACGGACGTCGAGGTGATACGGATGGTATTTTGTATTTATGCCTTGACGTCCGATGATGAAACTCAGCTGCAGGTCGGAACAAAAGTGACTGGTTGTTGACGATTCGAATCGCTCTTCATTAAATAAGGTCAAGCGGAAGGAGCTGGTACTGGGGAGCTTCTGCCCAGAGGTGAGGGCAGTACTCCATGTGGGGCCTAATTTTGCGCTTTATAGAGTTGCAAGCGTAGTGCAGTAACGTCTTGAATTGCTGAGCACACCAAGCTTCTTAGAGGCTAACTTAGCCTTTCCTTCCAAATAACCGCGAAACTGAACGTCATTCGATGTGTCAACGCCCAGTATTCCGATGCTAGCTGAAGCTTTAAGGTGAGTATCGAAGAGAGGAGTAGCGACAAAGGCAAAGGTAAATTGCACTAGATTTAGTCTACCCCAGTCCGAGACTCCACGTAGCAGAGTATCAACTTTCTTTTGACAAGTTTATTCCGGTCCTCATCGACAACTATTTGAGAAACACCTGCCCGGCTAGTGTAAAAAGTATTTTCAACATTACACAGTTCAAATTCAATATTCATAGTAATGAATGTTGTCAACATATCATTGATATGCAGAATAAACCGGGTCAGGGATAGGACACAGCCTTATGGGACCCAAGCGTTAACGGGTTTAAGGCTGGAACATGCTCCGTCGAGACCACCTAGACGCTCCAAACAGCGAAAAAGCTGTAAATCCAGTTGCATAATTTCTCGGGGAGCCCATTGGCTGGAAGCTTCGAGAGAAGTGCTCTGTGCCACACCCGATCGAAAGCTTTCGCTTTGTCCAAACTTACCGTCAGCGTCTCCCCCTTGGACTCAATTGCCTCTCCCCACCTATGTCTAAGGTTAACGAGAAGAGAACGAAGAACCAGCTGAGCGACCACCGCGAAAGCCGTACTGACCATCGTTAATCAACAATGAAGTAGTTAATTTATATAATAAATTATAGAGACAACTAGTACACTAAGCGCTATCCGTTCCATAATGTAATATTAAATTGTTTTATTTATTTATTTCAGATATTGAGAATGGCGAGCCAGAGGAAGGCTTTGACTCGCCTCTTCTTGCAGTTGTATCTAATGGCGCCAATATAGTACCACATAGCAATGTCGTAAGGTATAATATTTACAATATTCGACTTTTTATTATATTTATGCACATAAATTAAGCAGCGCCTGTTTTTACAGTTTAGGCATTCTGCGATTAATTCCCGCCAAAGTCTCGACTTTTATTTAACTTTTAAAGAAAAAACTTTTTAACCGGATTAAAGTTATGTATTATTATATATTTATATATATTTTATTTAACATGTTTTAAAACTGCAATCAATTCCAATTCAGTTTATTGTGTCACGGAAGTTTATTATAATATGTTTCACTGACCCACAATGGACTTATTTATATGTTTTGCTAATAAAAACTAATCCTCTTTTCAGAAGACATAAACTACCAAAGCTACACGCGGTAATACCTTCCAATGCTACCACACCCGAACCAACCCCATTACCGCTGACTCCTGGAACGTGTCCAACCAATAGACGAAATGACCGCCGCCTTCGGAGACTAAACACGGATCTTCTGGAAGCGATTGAGTCTTATAACGTAGAAGATGTAGAAAAGTAACTATTTAGTAAATGCAAAAAAATCCAAGTACTAAGTTTTTAATTAACCTAACATTTACAGTGGATTATTTATGTTTTACTGTAAATCCCATCTTGGGTAAGTGCCTCCTCCATTTTGTTCCAATATTGTCTATACTTGGTGTGGTGCAGCTACTATCAGCAACCATGACATCTTCCGCCCACTTTCGCCACGCGGTCTACCAACGGTACTTTTTCCATACTTACTCCTTCCAGTTTGTCGTTACCGTTTTTTTAAATAAAACATTAAGTAAAACTACTTATTAATCAGGTTACTAGAAGAAGGGGCGAATCCTAACGTCACATGCCGCCTCGATAATGTGTCTGCTTGTCACCTGGCAGCTTTGACTGGAGGCGATGCTTTAAACCTTTTACTTAAGTTTGGTGCTGACAAAAACCGTCTCGATAAGTATGGAAGGACGCCCTTACATCTCGCAGCCTATGCAGGAAATGCAAGGCAGTTGGCAATTCTCTTGGATTTTCCTGAAGGTTCTTTTAAATATTTGCTGCGAATGCCTTATTTAGTATAAGCGATTTCAAGATTGTTTACATAATATATTACTTATTGAAACAGATATGCAAAACCGCGTGGACACAGATGATATGTCACCAGAGGCAGAAGAGGACGTCAAAAGAATGTGTCCGATTACGAAGACTATGGTTAATGTGAGGTGTGACGTGGAAGAAGTTAATACAGTTCTTCCGAAGAGTTGGATGGATGATATCGACCACAACTGTATGAGTATTAAGGGCAGCGTAAGGACATTTTTAATAGCTTAAGTACTTATAAAAAAATCCTGTTGGTATGTTTGCAAGTATTCGTTAGCAATTTAACTGTAAAAAAATTTAATTGTAATGATTTATCCTCATTTATATATAATCCTTGTAGCTATTACATGGACAACTGGGCCACAACGTATAAAGGGTTAATAGAAAATAAAATAATTGTATATTTTTCTAGTTACCACTACTCCAACCCGGCTGGACGCCTCTACACGTTGCGGTGTCTTGCGCAAGACGTCGTTGTACAAGACTACTTCTAGCTGCCGGGGCTAATCCTAATATTTCCGACGTCCTTGGACGAACTACATTGGATGTTGTGGGTTCAGCACACCCTCATAATGAAGATATCATCTCTGAAAAGTTAGTAGAGTATTAAGAGTATTATTTTTAATTAATTTAAATAATAACACAAGCTGACGAAATTTGGTTAAAATCATAACTTGACGCGTAAAGATGTAACAATCATACAGACATCGAAGTTTTTTTTAGCTTTACAGAGGTCATTAAAATGCTCATAAAAGCCGGTGGAAGACACAACTCAATGAGATCAGATGGCATAAATGATATAGACACACCCCTCCATACAGCTGTAGAATTATCAAATATTGACAGTATCAAACAACTTCTGGATATTGGTGTATCTGTGGGTTGTTTAAATACGGCGGGTCAAACACCACTCCATCTTTGTGTTAAGAAGCAATTGGAGCAGGCATTACAGGCAAGTTTTTTACATAAATTGATATTAATAAAAACTAAAAATACCATTGGTATTTTACGATGATTTGTTTATGTCATATTTCATATTCCAGGTCTTAGCCAATTACCCATACAAGGATGTAGATCTTCTGTCAGCCATGGTTGACGTGAAAGACAGAGATGGTCACACGGTGCTACAAGTCGCTGTAGAGGACTCATGGGTAGCTGGTGTATGTGTAGCCCTTGAAGCAGGTGCAGACGTTACTTTGAAGGTAGGTTTTTATCATCATAAATTTTCCTATACTGATTGTCCTTTTGAACATTTTTTTCCGTACCAACAGTAGCAAACAGGTACGTCTGCTTATGGTACAATAATTTTTACATTAAGTAATATGTAAATGATTGTCGAAATCAAATTAGTATGATTATTAAAATAACTTAATAACTTAGTATTGTCTTTTATTGACATAACCTTTACACATTTAAAGAAAACACTTTTTACCGGATTGAAGTTATGTTATTATTATAAATTTACAATTATTTTACATAATTTAACGTCAAAACGCACTTCAATCCGGTAAAAAAGTGTTTTCTTTAAACTTAATAACTTACTAAAATAATTTTCAGGCAAATGATGGCGAAACACCGATTCATTCAGCGGCAGCTTTAGGTAACATAGACGTGCTCATAGAAGTTTTGAGTGTAGCCAAACAACAAGGCATTCTCGACAGCCAAAATGACAAAGGCGAAACAGCTTTATTCCAGTCGATCATAAACGGTCACCATGAATGTGTAAAAACTCTTTTAGAAGAGGGGGCTTCCATTAACATCACATTACCAGGCAACGTTAACGTTTTCCACGCTGCTGCTGAACAGGGACACGTAGATATTATAAAAACTTTATTAGAACAAGAACCTTTTGAAGAATTATTAAAAATGATAAATTCCCTTACTACTGCTGAAAAAAAAGGTTTTGGTCCCATTCATTTTGCTGTTTTAAGAAATAGCATAGACTGTGTAGAATTGTTTTTGTTAAATGGAGCCGATGTTAAACTGAGGACTACCAATAGCCCATATCACTCCTCGACGCCATTACATTTGGCTGCTGAAAATAACTTTTTGGTTGTCGCCCAGTTGATAATAAAGTTCGATAATACGACTTTAGACGATTTCAATGATAAAGGCTGGTATCCACTTCACACTGCTAGTTATTTTGGAAGTAGAGATGTAATTCTTTTACTTCTACAACACGGGGCAGATTTATCTAGACACACAGAAAGTGCAAGAAAACCTAAACGAACAGCAATAGAAATAATTGTTAATAACTTATCTAAACCTACAGAATTCTTGGACGACATTTTTGACTCCTATATCATTTGCACCTGCCAAAACTTGGAAGATGCAAATTGTGAAATAACCGTTGACTACAGAATATTAATGCCAACAGCTTGTGAAATAGATCAAATGAAAGTAGTGGAAGCTCTTCTAAAAACTGGTAACAGATATGGGCAAAAAAGGCTATTGGTGCATCCGCTTGTCGAAAGTTTTCTTTACTTAAAATGGAAAGCGTTATTACCATTTTTCTACACCATAATAGCTGTGTATGCACTTTTTGTATCATCGGTAACCATTTTCACAATTTCTGTCTTCTTTTATAAAGACACAAATGAAACTCCTCCAGCTTGCCTTGGACCGTCTATTTGGAGCTATTTTATTTATGCTACAGTCTGTTTGATTATACTCCAAGTAAGTTTTAACATATTTTATTTTTCTCTTCGCTGTTTCACTTAAATCGTAATTTTGTTATTACAATCAATATTGTTCCAGGAAATATTATATATGAATGTTAAAAGTACAAGATACTTATTCCATATGGAAACTTGGATAAAGTTTGGATCAGTTGTTTTTGCTATCATCCTTCCCACCTCGGTGACGATGTCTGCGGACATTGAATGGCCAAGACATATAGCTACTTTAGCACTTATTTTATCCTGGATAGAACTCATGTTTCTGCTTTCACGGTTTCCCAATTGGGGTTACTATGTCCTTATGTTTGGAAAAGTGGCTTCTAATGTTGTTAAAGTAAGTAAATTTTTACAAACAATTATTTTATTATTTACTTTTATCATTTTAGATGAACTGTACAACAATATTTTTTTTTTTTAGATACTTTTGACTTTCGCGTTTTTGGTAATTGGATTTTCACTTAGTTTCATGATACAGTTCCACTCAAAAATTCCATTCGAGAGTCCGTGGGCTTCATTTGTTAAAACGATGGTGATGATGACATCTGAGTTTGACTATGAAGCTTTATTTGATCAAGAGCACACTCGAGAACTAGCAACTTCAATAGTCATAATCCGGTTGATTTTCTTAATATTTCTAATATTAGCGGCCATAGTTTTAATGAACCTCATGGTCGGGGTTGCTGTTAGCGATATAAATGATTTAGAAATACTAGGAAATATCGATAGACTGGCGAAACGCGTAGAGTTCCTTTCAACATTAGACAACTTAGTTTACAATCGATTTTTTAATTCAATTTTACCAAGGAAAATAAATGACCATATCAAAAATATAAGAAAGGTAATTAAAAAAATAACTCTTTGTCCTGGTAAGCCAAGATGGAAATATTACAAGCTGCTTCCTACGTATATAAGAGATGCTATTTTAACCATAGCACAAGAACAAAAGGACATGAAAGAAGGAGAAATTGATATGAAGCAGTTTAGAATGAAAATTGATGAAATGCATGGGGCTATGGTAAAAATAGAAAATTTACAAGAACATAAATTGAATTTGGCTAATCTGGAGAAAACATTGATACAAAAGTTTAGGCTAGAAGATATTCAAAAACGCTTCACTGACATTGATAATGGTATCGTGCAAGTAAAAGAGCAAATTACTGAAAATAACGAAGAGAAAAGGTGCCTAATTGAAAAACTAAATGTTAAAGTCGATCAATTATCTGTAGATATGGAATCAATTAAAGAGGTATTAGCCCGATTAGAAAGGAAATTGGGAAGTTTATAGTTCTTTCTTTTATTAAGATATAAAAAATACGCTTGTCTTTTAAGTATAAGTAAGTCAATATAATAAACCTTAGCCAACTTGATTCTAGTTGGCATTATACTGTTAATATTTTTTGAACTTTTTACGCTTATATTTTATAAAGATGTCCTATACGGTAAAAAGAAAAATTCCTGATAAAGAAGTGCCTGCCGTAAGTTTTTAGCACATAAAACTATCTTCCTATCGTCCTATGTTCCCCCGATTCTTCAAGTTTCTTTTCATACATTAGGAGGAATGAAGTGTTATTGTATTTGAAATCTTAAAACCGTAAAATCTAATCGCTATATAGCAATTTATATCTTCTATATTTGCCTTATATCAGATCGGCATAAGAGAGTGCCATGTAGAAAGAGGTTTTTTGATGTTATTCAATGTTTAATTTTTGTGTACTTCACACGTAAAGTAAAAATTCAATTTAGTGAATAAAATCGTTACAATATTAATAAAATGCAATTCAATCAAACGAAACTATATTAATAACGTTAAGTGCGTTAATGGCCACTTTCAGGAATTTTCAACGCACACGATCGAAGCAATAAATCGTATTGAGGAGCGTCCAAACGTGATGGGAATTATGTATTTTCGAAACGGTATGCTTTTAGTAATGCACGGGATAAAATGCCTAAAGCTGCGAATGTGTAACAAGCCAAATAATATATTGTTAATGTATTCATCCTGAAAAACGTAAAAAAATCAAAAGTTGTTTACGTTATATTATTATTTACGCTTTCGCTTGTGAACATCTCTTAAAAACTAACCGCGCTATTCATAAAAACTAAATCAGTGTAATTGCACTTTTTAAACTAAAATACTCGAAAATAGTTCTGTCAGATTCTATTTACGCTGTTATGAAATAGACAAAGGAGTATTTTAGTTAATTCTGTCCAATAAGATTGATTTATATTGTTGGAACCTTAGAGCGCAAGTTTATAGACACATTTGATTCTGTCCCACAGTTTGTGATATTTATCGATGAACAAAGAAACTTATACCGACTAAGAGATTCGATGTGTTAGTACACGTATTAATGAACCTGAAGAAGGATATACATTATACATGTTTACAGGTTTCCTTCAACTAACAACAGTGCCCGAGACTTTATCGCATATTTTAACTAGTAGATTACCACCTATGAGTTCAGCTTTTAGAAGGGCCATCAGTGAAATAGTATGTAGAATTCATTGTAAACAATTTTTTTTAATTTTTTTACAATGAATGAAATTTTTAATTAATACCTACTAGTTCTAAAACATAAATTTTTATTATATAAATTATATATTCATAAATATATATAATCATAAATTATTTTGAGTTTGGTTCTGCTCTCTTGCCATCCCTAGTCCCACAATGAAAATTTAAGCCATTATAATGTACTCCATTCATAAAACCGTTCTGTTTTTTTTTAAAGTTTATACGTTAAAAGAAATACTTTAGAGATGTATAGTTTAAGATATAGGTAAGTAAATTAAAAGTACTTTTATTTTACTTACCTAGTATATCTTTGTTAACTTATCTTTAATTACATTAAAAAATTTAATAAAAAAAATTACATACATTCTTTACAAAACGTTAATCCATGGCCATCAGGATGTGTTGGACGAACTGCTGGCATTTAGAATCGAGACCAACTCGATGGAGATAATAGTGACTGGAAACAATGACTTCACTGCGTGTGCTATTTTGCATTGTACACGGATTAGCGTGCGAAAATAGAAGGCGAAAAAAAATAATTCGTTGGTTAGTTGTTAGTATATTATAATATAATAAGCAAGACTGGTATATTAACGATTTTGAAAAGCTTGCTTTGTGGCAACATCAAAAATGCTTAATCGCATACTCTAATATATTTAATAGCTTATAAAGATCGGTCAGCAGTCGGCCATAAGTGCACTCTTTTGATTGAATTCGTTTTTCAGTTAAGAACCAAGCTATGAAAATAATATCTAACTTACTGAAGAATTTTCATGACGAATGGCTTGTAAAAACAGTGCGTATCTTGCGTGAACTAATTTCAAATCGTTACAAAAATTATAACTCCTACTTAATCTGTTTATAGACCGCTTCATTAAACGAAATAAATCCAATAGTCGATCGAATAATGGAGGATGAATCTGTGGAGGGTGTTATTATGACTAACCAAGAAGGTACTTTGCTTTTCGTTATTAGTGATAGAAACTGCATTTGTATTTTCTGCAAAATGACGTGTACAAAAATGTCGCCTATTAGAAATATCAAAGCAAAATCTAATAAATTTTTATTTTTGTGAATACATATAAAGATATTAACTCTGATTACCTATTTGAAATAGATCATGATAAATCTGTCTAACCATAACATCAATTCAAAAGGAGGTACAAAAAATGTTATTGGAATTTATCACTATTTCAGGGGAACCGATTTTAACTAACATCAATTTAATGAATGCAACCAACTATGGGATTGCTATGAGTAGACTAGGTGCTATGACACAAGCCTCTATTAAAGATTTGGTAAGTAACTACAATATTAAAGCACTGAAAATCTATATCAGGTCACTGATTTAATAGGGGACTTGTGTTTAACCATATTTATCCTTTTTTTTTTTTTTTAACCCAATCGAGAATCTTTTCCAGATATGTCCGCCACAAGAGCTTCCCGTAGTTGAGTATAAACGAAGCAACCACATACTTTAGTCTATTTAAATTGTATTTTCGTCTTTACTTACTTTGCCATTCCAGGATCCTTTCGACGAAGTATTAATTTTGAGAGTGACAACAAAGAAATTAGAAATAATGACGGCACCGCATTCTGAATTTAATGTCATCGTGATGCAACATTCTAGAATTAAAAGCAAACATAAAAGCAAATAATACATCTTATTTTTAGCTAGCTTAAATATGCAGTTATTTTCTTAATAAAGAAATATATCGTTTCTTGTTGTTTAATCTCATGTTTTATTATCTTGCAGATAAACAAGATTGCCTTCGTCAGTATTTGTCTGTAATAAGATCCAATCATAAATCAGTGGGAGATTTTGTATAAAATAATAAATATTTGCGTTGGTTTCACTGATGGCTTCGTGCCTCCCTTCGTAATCATTAGTTAAAAATTTTGAACGTACATCGAGACTCGAGTCGTTTTTATCTGTTTCGCATTGGTCAAGACGAGATTGTGAGAAGTCACTTCTAAGAAGCTAAGCAGCTCCAACCATCCCGGCCCGTCAGGCATTTTTATTTAAATTAAATCCCGCATTCAACATTGCAACCTAACAGGTTAAAAAAATAAAACGAATGTGTTCATTTAAATCTCTTATTAATTTCCATATTAAGATGAGTAGGTCTAACGACAACTTGCTGTCTTCACCTCCAGCTTCCATTGATGACAACTCCCTGAAATACAGATAATTATTTTCCACGTTCTAGTTTTTATTAGTCTTACACAATATTTTGACAACATACATTTAAAGTATTTATTAGTTTTCTGTTTTGAGTTTTAATTATTATAAGTGTGTATTATCTATTACAAAAATATTCTCAATTCCGACGTATTTTTATTACCTACCTTCAAAATCCGTCCAAATATAGAATTTTCAGATTCATGCATATTTATGATTAAATTATTTCCGGATTGTACCTGTTCGAATAAGTATCAATTTTTACTATCACTTGAATAATTATGGATTTATAACCGATTACAAAAGCGTTATTTTTCAATTTAATTCTTTTACGATAGTGTATTTAACACAATTTAAATATCTATTATAACCTACATTAGATTGTCCATAAACCGGATTAGTTTATAATTTTGTAGTTGGTTTATTTTTGTCTAAAAATAACTTAAATGCTGATTTACTATTTCTGGTGCAATTAATAAAATAATATTAGAACTAATGTTTTAGGTTTACATAAATATTTTATATCTAAAATGTAAATTCGTAAAAAACATTCTTCAAATGGACATAACTATTCTTTATGTGTTCAGTACATTTTATAGATTAGGTTATTAATATGTTGTTCAACAGAGATTTTCATTTAAAGTTTGTTTTAATTATTTAATACATATATTTATACGTCGAAGTCTGCTTGTAAATAAACAAAAAGGGGTGTAGTTCTAGTATTAAAAACAATTATTATTTTTAAGACAGTTTATTACTACGTTTCACACAAGAATCCAATTATTTTTAAATCTAAGACCAACACGTCTAGTCAAGGACTGCGACATTCACAACATGTTGAAAGTGTATATCTATCTATATTAAGATTAAATATTAAAGTTAAATTTAATTGTTCCGTAATAATTTCTACTCAATTTCAAAACCGACGATTAAATATTATTGCAAAATTATCCGCTTATAAATATTTTTTAATCTAAAGGCGATTTACACAAAGTCAAAAAAAAATTGTGGATTAAATAGACTTTTAGCTGATATTAAATACAAAGTTGTAAGAGTGGAAGATACTTTTTGAAAATGTCATTAGTAAATAAAACCTTTTTGGGTAAAAGTTTGACCGTTTTAATTTCGAAGCTAATTTTTAAATGAAATTTATAAATACAATATTTTGAACATTCCAAATTTGTCTTAAAAACAATTAATATAAATACATAATTCAGTTAAAATGTTTGCAATAGGCGTAATAGTAGAATATATCGACATTTATTATTTAAGGGAAGCATATGAAACATATGAGGGTTTTGTGGATTTGTCTTCAATTTTGTGGTTTTTGTCCGAACTTTTTCGCAAATTATTGCGAATGTTTCTTATGGGTCCTGTAAATTTATTTAGATATTAAAATAATATTTTTTTTTATTTTGATTACATATTTAATATTTAGTGGTAGTTTTGTTGACGAGGCTGGCTATATTTTTACATGAAAAGCTTCAATTTTTATCATCGTATATTTATTATGTATTTTAAGATTCGAAAGTTTTATTAGATTGAATACATTTTTTGTCAGCGAAAAGAGAAAGCACAAACAGAAACAAAACTGTCAACCCACTTTTAAAATTAATAAAAAAGTGAAAATGTATAAACGGTTAATACCTGCACTCAGAGCCCCGGAAGGCAACGACACCCATAATAAAATAAAAAAAAGTAAGTGTGTCTACACATACTTCTGCTGTCGCTGATAAGGCGCGGGCCTATTGTAGTTCCTCGTGGCGGGAGGACCCGACCTCCGAGTGCCCACGTCGCGAGCCGACGCTTTGTACTCGCGCGGCTCTTCGCTCTGAAATATATACTATGATAATTCCGTGGTCTGTTCCATTCCTTATTTTTCTTTTAAAGCGAAGCATTAAAAATGACCAAAACTCTTATTCGAACATATCCTTAGTTTGTAATATTTGTACCTTATAGTAGTTGTCTTCTTCGTAGTATTGATCGGAACCTCCGCCTCTCTCGTAGTAGAAATCGGACTCCGGTGCCTGTCGGTTCGGCGGCGGTGGACGACTCTGAAACGTTTCCAATTCATGTAATTTCCCGCCTCCAGATTCATGGTAATATCTGAGTGTAGTTATACTAACGGGTTCCTGCATGGAATAGTCGTCGTATCCATAAGAGCTCTCCATGGCGTTGCGAGCTCGGTCCAAAATGCTAAAGACCTTGGTCTTGGCCGGAGCCATGGAACGCGCCGGCGGCATTCGCTGCGCTGGCGGACGAGACATGGGTGGAGGTGCTCCTAAAACAAATGATTTATAAGATATATAGGCATCGATGTGTATTTTTACTTTAGCTATCGATATAAACGTCTGATATTAATGAAAGAAACTGCGATGACAAATTAAAACATCTCTCAGATAAGGCTCAATATAAACAGTTAAAAAGTAAATATCTATTTCTTTAATACACAACAATTTAAGCAAACTAATTTTAAAAAGCAATTTTAGAAAATAAGTCTTTAAAGAAAAAGCAATAACATGCACAAAATCATGTAATCATTCTATATTAAGGACGTAAAATTGTATTAAATTGATAATCAAATATATAAAAAAGTTTAATAAGAAATTCGGTTTAGGCAATCTCTTTGGATTTTCTTTTAGTTATTAAGAGACGCGCTATGGTGCTCTGGATGTGACTATGAGTAATAAAGGAAATTATATTAACAAAATATGTGTGATCGTGTAAAGCAGTTTTGCTATTGAATATTCATATTTCGCTCTCTTAGTAATACAAGGGCCTAACTAAAGTTATTGGTATAGTGCGATTATAAAGGCACAAAATGAAATTTTCTAGCGGTTAGCACTGAGAGAGAATAAAGAATGACAATAACAACTCGGTAAACATATTAGCACCTCTCTCACACCCTTTTGCGGGTCCCCCGATCTTACTACTACAAGTTACTAATTAGTAAAGTGTCCATATTCAAAGAAGTTAGACTGTTCAAACGTTACATAACGCAACGTTATTCGATTTATACAGAATGTAGTTAATTTGTAGATCATATATGTATATAATAGATCCCTATATTGCCAAAAAATGCAATCATTACAAGCAGTTATTCCTGACTGATTCTGTATATTACACAATTTTTGACATATTTTTGGGCAGAGCTTAATTTTTTTTTAGTTAATCGTAATTTATCAAATCTGTAAAGTTCCATAATCTAAATAAAAATGCTTTTTTATTCAAAAAACAAGGTGAATTTCCCGAATTATTCCTTTGTATTACTTCTGTAATGATGCAATGTGTAGAGATAATATTAAATAGCAAAATTACTTAAAAAAACTGGAGGTCCTTAAATATCAGTAGGCTTTATTATTGTTTTTACTAAAACCATTCCTTTAATAATATAAGTGCCATTTACAAAAAAATTACGTTAAAAATATCAAAAAAATTTGTAAAGTATTAATTATTATGATTTTTAATCTTTAGTGTAACCATTTTTAAATGCTTTGCTGATTTTGTTTACTTAAGTCATGTAATTTTTATCATGAAATAATCTGATTGATGTGCATAATTGAAGATCGAACCTTGAGTCACGGGACCTTGATAAGATACTGAACGATTTGTAAGGGTGCGTGCACTGTATACAACTGCCTTAGCTGCCTGCGAGTGTTCTGGCAATTGAAGTAGAGGGGCTCTTAGAGAGCCTGGATCTGGCAACAAACCCCTTCATATTTATTTAGGTCCTACCTAACAAAGTGTAAAGATGGAGATATTTTTGAATGGTGAGTGAGTTGTGTAAGGTTTTTATCATATTGATGTGTATAGAATATTGACAATTTTGTATTTAGTTATCTTACTTCATTGAAGAAATGTTAAGGATATGGTGATACAGAAGACCATGCAGTAACATGGTCATAATTTTAACATAATATGTAAAAACCATTTACTAATTCACAAACAACCAACACCGGAAATCTAGCCGTAATAGTTGTTGGAGTTGCCCATTATTCACAAAATTATATCAAGTTCAGGCCTTTTTAAATACTTGTCTTCCAGCCTATTGAAATATTCAATGCATGTAGTGTGTAAAAAAAAGTAACTGTGGTTGGGATTTTTCTTTACATTTGTTTGTGTAATATTTATGAAAAATAATTTTCGTATATATTTTACTTAATTCTTACTGAGGTTTTAAAGAGTAAAGAATGTGTATTGGGTCAAGATATATGTCTGACTATTTGAGTTTATAACAATAAGCAAACAAATAAAATGATAAAAAAATCTATTTTCTACATAAGCCTCCAAGCAAATTTTGACAATAAAAAATTGCTAACCTCTGTCCATCATTTCACGCATTGGTGGACGCATCATGTCAGGGCCATCTGCGATCAAGTACTTTTTGACTTCTGCAAGTGCATACGCAATTCTTGCATGTGCCTCCGCAGGTGGAGCCAATGCTGATACTTCAACATGCAACTCATCAGAGAGGTGAGCATATTTGGGGTCCAGGGAGTTGCGAAGTTCTTCTTCCTTGTTCCTATAATATTGGAAATATCTTTTTAGTCTTTTTCTAAAAGGATTTGCATTTAGCAAAGCATAATATCTTGGTACTGTTAGTTAGTAAGTAATATAATGCACCACACCACAACAAATATTCAGATGAAAAGTAATAACGATAAACTAAATATACAACTTATGAATTAACATTGCAATAAACTGTTTTTAATACATACATACAGAATTTTTAACTCACCTATCCCGCATAGAGCCCCGACCAAGTATAGCCATTTTACACATTGTCTCTTCTTGCAACTGTTTCATTGTGTTTCCTTTTGGTCCAAGCAGCTTTCCCACAAAATTAAACTAGAAATAAAACTTATAGTTTAATTTTGTTTTAGAGCTGTATAGTAATGAATAAATACAAGTAAAAGACAGATTAAAAATATTAAGATTTCTGATATTAGATATATTGTATGAAATACTAATTTTATAAATCAATAAAATATGTTCCTAATTTGATATAATTATTTGCAACTAGCAAGATATATAATTATATCAAACGGGAAAGACGGGAGATAAACGGGAAAATTCAAATTATCTTCTACATTACCTTTGGATGTTCCTTAATAGGAACCAGAACTTTGACTGTAACCTTGACAGGTTTTTCACGGAATACATCCACATACTTATTGTCTCTAAGAGGTATTCTGCCAGAAGCTTGAAGTCTTTCAACTTCTGTAATAACAAGAACGAGTTTTATTGCGATATGAAGTTTAATTATTTATAACATTACAATAATTTAATAATTTATTCATTGATTTAATTAAAATAGAAAATATAAATTTCAAAAGTTTTTCGACGATTCTGACGTTTCCAGAGAAATTATTAGTAAAAACATTATGATTTTTTTAAATTACGAAGTCTCAACTTTCAAAACGATTGATGACCCAAGCTATAGCAGTGCTATATATGTGTAATTGGTAGCCAACTGCCAAGCTTAACGTTACAGTTAGGTTAGGTCAATGAACCTGAATATGGAAAATTTGTAACACTACATATATAAAATACATAGTTGTATACAATAAAAAATATGACTTAATTTATTACTTGATTAAAGCATCTTATCGCTTCTCCGACTAACTTTTTTAACATGAGAAAAAAAAGCTAAAAATAAATTTACAAACCTTGATCAATAAGACGACACGAAACTGGAAACTTATTAGTCGGAAGTTTTATTTTCTCGCTTAAAAGATCCCTCATGTATTCACCGGCTTTTTCATTCAATTTGGAAGCCTCCTCGCCATCTTGTTCATGATCGTTCCCTGGATTAGAATTTCTTTTAAAATCTTCACTACCATTATCAAACTTGTCCGCCATAGTGTAACAATATAATTTCTTTACAATAAAAACAACAATTCAGTCCTGAACTATTAATTATATTACAAAAACATTAATAATTGTACCACGCTACAAAGAACAAAGTATTTACTGAAATTATTACCATAGAGTAAGATATATAGAAAGAGACATCTCGCAGATTATATTTATCCCTTCTTAAAGCGCTATGCACACTGAACAGTCGCGAGTCATTACCCTCCGACACAAGCAGTCGCGCCGTTATAGAGAATGCGTAACGCATATTACCCACAAAAAAAAACATAATAAGTTCTGTTACACTGATGATATTTATCAATATATTGATAGTAGTAGTTCTTAGTCCAATTTAACCCCAATAAGACACAAGTTAGCGCGTTTTTCGCTTAAAAAACACCCTTTGCTACTCCTCTTTTCGGAAACACTCTTAAAGCCACAGCCAGTATTGGAATACTTGGCGTTGACATAACCGATAACGAACGACTTTCAGTTTCGCGGTCACTTGGAGTGAGAGTTGAGAGTGTCCATGGGCAGCGGTATCACTTAACACCAGGTGAGCCTCCTGCCCGTTTGCCCCCTGTTCTATATAAAAAAAACTTTAGAGGTGTCAAGGGACACCCGGATGGAACGAAATTCCTTTCGATTAATTTATATGTTAATTGGTATCATAACAGTATGATAGATTTTCTCGACACCAATCTTACGACGAAAAAAAAGCCAACATCACGAGGTGTTCCCAGGCGGTCACCCATCCAAGTACTGACCTCGCCCGACGTTGCTTAACTTCGGTGATCGGACGAGAACCGGTGTATTACAATAGCAAATAGCAAAAAAGTGTCGTGACAACTTTTCGTAAGAATTTTTTCCGTCTAGCCCCCTTTCACAACGCGCGATAAGGAACTTCGTTCCAAAAGTAAGATGAAAGTACAGATACCGGCAAACATCCAGATTTTTAGGTATCACTGGGAGGGGGTGCGGGAGAGTGACGTGTCGATCGCGTGATTGGTAAATCAGTTGACGTTTGTGTCCCACATGCGCAGACTTTCCCCCACTCCCATGTTTAATGCTCAAGAAGTTTGCCGGTATCTCAGTACCAGAGTTACTTTAATGTAATATTTTTTTGGCAGCAACAGGGAAGGGGGCTGCCTTGATTTTGATACCGCTCAGAAATCCAATACACAAACAAGCCAGAGGGCTTGCAAGTGTGTTGCTATCCTTTTCAGAAGTACATACTCCTTTCTCAAAGGACCTTAAGATAAATTGGTTTATGAATACTTTAATAAAAAAAATATAAACATATCACTTAAGGTGCAATAAAACAAGAAATATTAGTGTAAAGTTTATTAAAATAAATAATAGCCACAAAAAATTAAGCTTAATTGTTAACCTGGTTATGTCATTGTTCTGTGACGTCACACATTTACTGAGAGATTTTTAAGATTAAGTGAAATTACATATTACAAAATTATGTTTTTAAATTTAGTAATCACCGCAAATAATTAAAAAAACTCAAGTACTAAACTGAATACAATTCTTGTCATAAGAGAAGTTTACATAAATACTAAAGGTAAAATAAAAGAATTGCTATGTGCCTACAAATTATTGTGTAAATGTATTTGAATAAAGATTTACTTTTAATACCTTTTCACATTTGTATAGCCAATTTATTAAGGTGTTTGTAATTAGCACATATCTTAATTCAAATATTTACATTTTTACCCTTAGTATTTATGAGAATATACACGGACTAGTCAGATGTATTTTGAATAACAATAAGTATGAATTCTCGATCAGGGGCAATCAATATCTCATGGCGCCTGCTCCTAACTCTAAGAAATGTCAGCTCATTTGTGGAGTCCTGTCAAAAATTAAAGAAATATTTATCACAAGTTTGTAAATTTTTTCATTAAGGTTTTGTATTTTTTTTTTTTTGGAGCTTAAAAGAAATCTTCGAAGGTAAAAAAGAAAATGAAAACTTTAACTAATGAAAAAGGTGGTAGATTTGTGCTTGCTGCCTTGCCTTACATATGGGGCAAAAACTTGGGATTTTCCAAAACAAAATGAAAGCCAAATTGTTATATAGATGGCAGATGGTCAAAATCAGTAACCAAATGGAATGACACAAGGGCAGACCAAAAGAGCGATGGGGTAACGAGGTTGCTGGTAAAAATTGGAAGACCCTGGCAAAAGGTGAAGGTCTTCTCCTGGGCAGGGAATCTTAGTAGTTAAAATTGTATAAATATATTTCTTTTGTATAATGTATGTCAATAAGATGTGGATAAATAAAAGCTTATTGTTAATATGCACTATTATTTTTATAATTTACCATTTCACGAACAACATTCCTTGCTTTTTCTGTCAGCTGACTTATAAGACCAGAATATAACACAGAAGTTGCATTATCCAATGACGTCTTTATTGGTATACCTGTATCAATTACAAGAATTTTGTTAATTTAGTAAATACAATCTATAAATATAAGTTCTGCAATGTTAAGGCAGTTCGAAATACGCAAAACTTTACTACTTGCGATACGAAGAAATTATTAAAATATATATAAACACATATCTTTAATCAATAATCACACTGCAACTATATTAGATATTGATCAAACCTTCGTGGTTTACAATGACGACACCCATAACACCTTTATGAGCTTGAATTCTTTTGATAGTTTCCTCGACCTCAGTAGCCTGAAATTAAAAAATGATTACTTATAAGAAAATATCTAATGCAATGTAATGAAACTATGGTTTACCATTTTATATTAGAATGAACAGTGAAATAATAAACTTTCTCAGCTGTAGAGTCAAGAGTGTAGTTGACAGTTGTATGCTGTGTTTAGTGTTATGTATAATTATGTAGGAACTAGGAAGTGGGCCGTAGTCAGTGTTGCCAACTCGATCTCTTAGGTAGGTGCTAAATGACATCTCAAATAGTGCTAGATTGATAAAAAATATCAAAAATAGTGCTATTTTTTTAGACATGAAAAAAAGATATAATTAATTTAATTTTGGTTTAATATGATAATAATTATTTAAAACTACATCCAATCATCTTCACTATCATCTGTCTCTACTGCTGATTCTGCTTCTCGTTGTACTGACGCTGAAGCCGCCGTGGAAGTGGAAGGTTCTTCGCTGTCAGACTTTTTCAATTTAAATGAGTACATATCTTTTTTGCCAATTTTTTTAAGAACTTCTTGGGGAATTTCATATGTATGGCAATTTTTATTTAAGTTTTTGAGCCCTGTTCGGATATGAAGAAGTGAATTCGAATCTGTGAAGGATTCGACGGCGTTTTCAAAGCTGTAGCCGAGGTATGGCGACGGGTCCAAGTAATTTACCACATTGCCTTCAAAAATATTGAAGGAAGGACGTCTTCCCGGGATCACAACTTGGTCACAAAGTGATTCCAGCAATTTGATCAAAGTTTGTATCAGCTTTGTTGGATCAGTATTTTCGCCTTCAAACGCTTTTAGCGCAGATTGTACTTGACCAAGTATTGATTTGATGTACATTAAATAAACTTTATTTTGAGGATCTTTGTACGAATTGTGTAACAGTTCAGCTGTATAACAATTGTTTTTGGTTCGGGCAATCTCAAAAAATAGTTTCAGCTCTTGCCATTGATCAAGAATTCTTTGCACAACTGCTTCAATCGAGAGCCATCTAGTAGCACATTTCTGTAAAATTTTTAATGGCTGTTGACCGCAATTAATGGCTGCAAAAATATCTGCATATTCTTGTCGTCGAGTCGCTGACATGGAGAACCAATTATAAGTTTCTCTTAGGATAAATTCAATATTCCGCGGAATTGTTTCTTCGAACGCGTGAGCAACAGCCAATTGGAGCGAGTGACAAATACATTTGACTAAAATCAGATGTTGCAAACCGTACTCTTCTTTTAAAATTTTATAAACTCCTTTATTAATTCCTATCATAACACTGGCATTATCGGTGCCCAGTCCCACTAAATTTTCAATCTTAAACCCATCTCATCCTGCACTGTTTTAATAATGGCAGTTACAATACCGCTAGCATCGCACGTCTCTAATTGGCTCAACGCTAAAAACGTAGACGTTATTTTCTTCATTGAAGAACTGAAATACCTTATAACAATACCTAGGTACTGGTGTACAGTTATGTCCGTCGATTCATCAATTATTAGACTATATTTACTGTCACCAATATCCTGTTTCAAGATTGATATAAAATGTGGCGCCAGAACATTTTTAATAATTTCACCACACTTTGTACGATGAAGTTTTAGTGCGTTTTCCAATTACAGAGCATTTTTCGACTCAGTGCCGCACAATGCCGCATAATGCTGAAGCTTAATTGGAACGTGAATTAGTTTTCAAATGCATCAGCGAAACACTCCAATGGGTGTGTTGGTGTTGGAGTGTTTCACAAACAATACAACATAGTTCAGAAAATTAAATTACCTCCGGAATCATCGGTCTTTACCGGTGAATGTTTTGGACTACTAAAAGCTCTTGAATATGTGTTATGTTTCAAACTCAAAAAAACCGTTATATTTACCGATTCCTTAAGTGCTTTACAGAGCTTAGCAAAATTTTCACTAAAACTTAACCCATTTTTTCATGTGATATTTGAATGTAAGAGAAAGCTGTTGCACTGCCAATTACACAACTATTTAGTTTCATTCTGTTGGATACCTAGTCACTGTGGTATCTCTGGAAATGTAAAAGCTGACAGTTTGGCTAACAGTGCTACTGAGACCGGTGACGTACACCCATACAGGAATTTTGGCCATGATCTTGCTGCTTTGCCCGGCATATATCTCCACAAATCGTGGAATATGTGTTGGGAAGAGAAAGGCCGGATTAAGGGTCGTTTCTTGTATGCTATACAGTCTTCCGTTCCCAGGAAGCCATGGTTTGCCAAATTGTCGCTTGGTAAAACCACCACTTCTATTATAATCCGTATGCGTCTGGGACATAACAGCCTTCCAGTTCATTTGCACAAACTTGGTATCGTAACTAGTACCGCCTGTGAGTGTGGCGAGAGCTATTCTGACCTGAATCATGTTTTCTTTTCTTGTCCTAAATATGACCATGCTTCCTTATACACTTCTTTAGTATCTCTCTCTGTTCCCCTTCCTACCAATATTTCTTTACTTCTTCGAGATTTAAATCCCCTTGTATATAGTATTATAAGTATATTTATTGTAAATAATAACATTAAACTATAATTTTGATTTATTTTTCCCCTTATGTAACTATTCTGATTTTGTTGTAAATTTAATGCGTTTTCAATCATCTATGTTATGTCGCGATTAGTTTCCTTCGTTTTTTATTATTCATAAACTGTAAATACATAATTAAAACAGCGACTTATAAAAATCATATACCTACTTGACGCTGGCTAATGCACAGACCGTGCCAGAGCCATAAAGGAAAAAAAAAAAAATGCATCAGCAGAGTGCGCTAAGTCAGTGTTGACAAAAAATGGTCTGAATAGAGTTTGCAACCTCATTAATGTATAAATAATGTGGTAAACAATAATAATTGGTTGAAAACTTTTTACGCTTAATTTAATAATCAAATTATTTCATTGAATTTTTTTACTGAAATAAGAGAAAACCTTTAAAGAATTTAAGGTTTTAACAAGCTAAATTAACAGTAAAATATTTAGTTTCATGTAAGAAGTTTACATCATTTACGTTTTGAGTAATATTTTTTAATGATTTCTAAAAAAATATATACTTTTTCAAAACCATTGCAATTTTTTCTAAAGTATAATCCTGTAAAGTAAATTTGTTTACAGATCCGAATTTTAAAATAAAATTGTATTCATATTTTAAATGTGGAATATAAAAAAAGTAACTATTTATACCTTCATCCATACTAATATTTATTTTTTTAGCAGTTTGAAATAACTTTTATTATTTTCAAAATCTACGACGAAACGAAAGCCTTACAAATTTTTCAACAATAAATAATATTTACTAACGATAATTTCGATAAATGCCAACTTAAAGAAAAATACTGGTAAATTTTCTGTCACTGTGTTGGTATTGTTTGCACTTTGCGAGAGCATTCGTTTTGAGAGTGCTCAATTGTGCGAAGCGTTGCTGTAGTTGGAACACTCAACGTTGAGCATTATGCCGCAAAATGCGCTCTAGTGCTGTAATTGGAAAACGCACTCAATTCGCAAACTGTTTTTGAGTCTGCGAAAGCTTTTGCACACAGTGAGCTAAGGTGGTCTGTGGGTAAAACTGCAGTGTGTTCAGCCACAAACATTGACAGAAGAGCCTCAGCACGATATACTTCTAGTTTCTCAAATGTATCAACTTTTTCTATAGAAAGTATTGCCTGGCCCGAGGAAAACGGTTTAAGTTTTTCTTTGTGTTTGTACATAGACAACATATTAGCACCGCAGATTGTCATGTCAGAAAATTACAAACAGGAATGTTGCAGTTGGAATTATGACATTATTGACTATTATTTTTTCAACTGCTTGAAGATTGAAGGAATACTGTTAATTTTAAAATTAAACTATAATTATATTGCTTTTTTCGGCTGTCAAAAGGCAAAAGTTGTATGCAATGTACTGTGAGAACTTTCAACTTTGATCTTGTGTAGTATACTAAAAGTTTGAGTAGTGACTAGTGAGTACACATAATGACATAACACTAACTGTGTACTGTGGAGTGTGGAAGTGGAACTGACAAAATAAAATAGCTGAGTTTTTGTGTTTTTCATTGCAAAGCTAATAATAAATATATTTACAACGTTTTCTACATTGATTTTTCAAGTGATGAAGATTTATTGACATTCAATACGTGAGCTAAAAGATTTGTAAGATAATATAAAATGCAATTTTTGTGACAGAAAAATGAACGATAGCGCAGAATGCTCAGAAACATTAGATCCGCGAGTTCAGGTAATCAATATACTTATAACACAATTTCTGAAAACATCTACACTTACGTTTTTCATAAGTGCAATTTGCATACAAATGTGTAGTTTTTCTAAATTGAAAAGTTCGCATACTCCTTTGTTTCTGATTTTTAATTATTTTTTACTTAGTAAATTACTCTCTTATGTATATCGACTATAGTAAAATAACATAGTAAATATAAATTATTTTAATTTTCAGATTGAATTGGAACGCCTTAATACAGCAACAGATGAGATAAATAGACTTGAAGTTGAACTAGATGAGGCTCGACTGGCTTTTCGTCGTTTACTTGCGGAAGGGCATCTTCGTATACAACAGCTTACTAAAAAACTAGGAACAAGTGTGCATAAGGCTAGACCTTACTATGAGGCCAGATTTCGAGCTAATATTGTGAGATTTTTATTTATTTTAAATAGTAACTTTTCTAGTTGATCATAATTATATTGTTGATGTTTAAAAATATTAAAATGTTTAACAGACATCTCAAGAGCTTCAAGCTGCCAATTTTGCCTATGACAAAGCAAATAGTGCCCATGCTGCAGCAAGGGAGATGGTATATCTTGCAGAGCAGGGCCTGGCAAGACTTGCCGATGGGAATGGAGGGCTTACGTTGGATCCTGCCTGGCAAGAAATGCTTAATCATGCAACACATAGAGTTAATCAGGTCAGTTATTTGGAAAAGGAGCATAACATTCATATTCATGAATTCTTTTATATAAATAACTATCCATAATGTATTTTATGTAACCTTAGGCTTACAGTATTATTTGTTGTCTCTTTTTTAATAGGATTTATAGATGAAGCTATAACCTATAAAAGTTTTATTACATATTACCTATGATCATAAGTCTTAAAATTCTAATTTTAGGTTTACATCATAACACATCAATTTCCAAATTTATTATAATTGAAATAAGCATCTATAAGAAATGACTTTAGGATTTTGATGGAACCAGAGAACTTTGGCGTCATATGTTTATGTGTTTTTGATTTAATCATATTAGAAGGATTATGAACAGAGGCATTTATGGATGAGCCTCAATGTAGTTAGTTGAACAGATATAAAATATTGAAGATGGTTGAGGAAACTATCAACTGTTATTAGTTTATTATATTTTAATCCCCCTCAAACCCAATTAGGGGTACTTAAGTAATAACTTTTAAAAATTATAATTGGTATAGGCGGAAGCTGATCGTGCTTCATCTGCGGTGACACAACGCACTAAGGCAGCGGCCCATAGGGCAGCTGCCGCTCTTGTACAACAACTACAGAATAGCCTTAAGAGGCATATAGCTAAATCAAGGTATTGTTCAATTAAAAATCACAGCTAAATTTGTAAACATTTTTCCCTAGAATGCTTAGAACTTGTCTTTGTCTACTTTAGTACAAACCTTTAGTATTTATAATTTGAAAATATTTTAATCAAGATTTTTTCTAAATGAACCAAATAGCATCTTCTACTAAAACCTGCCTTAACAAAACTTTGCACTATTTCAAATTTAACTCAATAAATTGCTTTTCAATCTCGTATTAGTTGTGTAATGAGCTCAAATTAGCAAAATCTTAAGACAATTTATCTAGTTAGCCTAGCACTAATGAGTTAATGTAGAGTGAGATGCTGAAAATTGCATTAGCAAATGATTAATTGTCCTTGAGACAACAACAATTCTTGTTGCGAAAACGTAAATTTTGTTAAAAATAAACAATATGTAGTACTATGATTGCATACCATGTGTAATTGTAGAAATGCTATGCCTCTTAGTGTCTTGCTCTTCCCTAAAAGTAGTGCTTGATTAGTTTGCACAGCATTTGTCTCGTTCACAGGCTGCACACTGACGTCAGCAAGGCCATTCTCATACTTGGTACTATTTTTTATTATTTCATACTTTTAAATATTTATCGCATGCTGTATTTCTGCTTCATAGGCAGTATTGTAAATCTTGAATACACTTTCTTAATTCATTGAATTGTTATTGGAAGACAGAACTCTATCTTTATGGTTTGGAGATTTTCTAGTAATGCATGATATTTTTAACACTTTCTAAATAACTTATTAACTTTCCCATTTCAGTTGTACATAAATATTTGTCTGTTATATAATTTAGGCCATATTTTGAGGAGAAAGCTCGGATTAATGCCGCTTTAGAAGCACAAAAAGCTCGTATCCAAACACACGAAGAACAGGTCACTGAAGCAAAACAAAAGTATTCCTCCGCCCTTCGTAACCTTGAGAGGATATCTGACGAGATACATCGACATCGATCTAGAAGACAGTCTACGAGGAACGGTAAGTACAATAGTTTTTTGTGTATAATTAAACAGCCTAACTTAATGTAGACTTACTCTTGATGTTAATGTATTATAGTACTGCAGAAAAATAGCATAATTGAAAGGCCTATGAAAACTTAATAATAAGGCCGTTTCTCCACTGCTCCGGTCCGGCAAACGTTAATTATGGATCCGATTTAGAAACTCACAACAGTACATACGTACTTCTCCACTACTACGGCATCCGGTTTTTAACGATCCGATAACTTGCTAGATCAGAACGCGGTGTTTTATCGGTCCAAGTATATCCAAGTATCTAAGAGGTCATAAATTATTATTCACAGATTTATTTATAGTTTATTTAATTTGAAAGAATCTGGATAATCTGGACCAAACCAAATTATGTTGCATAGGATTAGTGAACTATTTATTAAGTAGATTATAATATTTTAAGGCAGACAATATAAAAAAAAGTAATAAACTTAAAGAGTTTAGAACGTTTTATTAATAAAATAAAGTATATGGGTTTTAGTTAATATAAGTGTAGCATGATAAATATACAAGTATCGATTATTATCGGATCGGATATAGTGGAGAAGCGCAATCCGGCCTTCCGATATTTTTCTCATGACTCATTCCGGTATCCGACGCCGGACCAGAGCAGTGGAGAAAGGGCCTAATAGCCTTTAATTCAGATACTTTTACATTTAAACGTTTCTATTTGAATCTTTTTTTAGTGTATCTGTGTGTTTTTTTAGCAAAGGCCTCTTCCAAATCCCACCATTCCTCCTGCACTGTGCCACTCTTTGGCCTGGAACACCTGCTGTTTCTTGAATTTGGTTTTTCCACCTTCTACGTTGTCTTCCTCTTTTTCGTTTGATGTACTTTGAGCACCAGTTTAGTACGTTTTTGCTCCACTTTTATGTTCCTCTTGCCATGTGCCCCGCCGACTTCTTCAAGAAATTGTCACGAGAAATCGACTTACATCGTCCAAAATTGTGTGTGATGTTTGTTATTTGCAGATATAGATCAAATGACAATAACAGATACGACGAGTGAATCAAATGCTAGTGAGAACTTAGAAGAATTGTGCTCGACCAGTAACGATGAAAATGTTCGGGAGTGGCTTCGGAAGGTAGACCGACCCGATCCCGACACCTGGACTGAGATAGATCTGGATTATTCCAGCCCAGAAGAGGTAATTTTTCCAACATTTAGGAATTAATTTAAATTAATAATTCTTATGAAATTAGGCTGTTGTTATATTCGTCTCTATTATTTAAATCCACTCTTTTGTAAAATCCAATCTTTTATTTATTATAAATTTCAGATAAGTTTCGAAAAATGCTCTCTGAGACCGAGGCCGAGCCCTGATAAATCTCCGACCAGTCCCCTGGAATCCAAGGTCTCGGCTGCTTCTCCGAGGCGAATAATACGAGTGGGCGAAAGAACGGCCGCCATCAGGGCCGAGTTGGAGAAGGGGAGGCGACAGAGTTTGGATACTATCCTTCACGATACAGGGGAGAAAGTTAAGGAGATGTTCCAAGGTGAACCGATTTTTCAAATTTTCCAAATCAGCCAAAATTTGAATTTTGTTTTTTTTTAATAATTGTGTAATGTTAGGTCTCTCCCTATTCGGCGAGCGCCGCGGGTCGGGCTCGGCGCCCCGAACTCCGCGCAGGGCTTCTCCCCGAGCTCGCCGATCCCCCGCTCCTTCGGGGGCCTCCTCGGCCTCCGACGAACTATACTCCGACGCGGACAGTCTCGCCAGGTAATTTATATTAGACTAAAAATTTGTTAGAATTAAGCACAATTGTTAACTATTAACTAATTGTTCAGATGTGGTGTAAATATTTTTTCTCTTTATGTAATTAGTTCATAGAAAAAAGAGCAAATTTAATTCGGTGTTCCCGGCAAAGGCCAATCTTTAATAGATTTTCTCAATGACGATTTCGTTTAATAATTAGAAAAAATCTTTTTCAGTATGGAGATGTTGACCGACGATCAAATAGCGTCGCTAATGCTCGACGCGCAACTCGAAGCCGTCTGTGAGAAGTTAGCTGGAGTTGCGCGTGCGCCTCGGTCGCCGCGTTCGCCCGAATCGCGACGATAAACCTTCACTTATATAAGAAAAGAGATTTCTAATTATCGTCATTTCTACGAATCATTTTGTCTATTAAGTGCAGTCGACAACCGTCATTTTTATCGGTTTTTAAAACAAATTCGGGTATTGGCGGGTCAGGTCAATTATGGATTTTTATTGACCGGCACTAACAGTTAGGGCGTGATATCCTTATATAATATAATAATAGTCAGTAATACCACCCGTCGCAATATATTTATTTTTATATATATATAGACTTATATAATATGAAAGTGTTAATTGTATGTTGATTTCTTCCTAAAGAAGAAAATATGTATGGTACATATTCAAGGCACTAAAAAGGCTGGGTAACCCTGTTGTACAGCGTTCATTTCTCCTTAAATAATATTTGGTAGCTCTTAAAGCTCTTATTAGTTATTGTTGGAGAATTACTTGATATAGTATCTCTTAATTACATTTTATGATATATCAAATCTGATGCAAAATGACACTAAAGACATAATACTTATTCTTAATGTTAATGTGAATTGAGAGTAATGGCGGGATTTGGGAAGGAGGCATGTAAAAAAGTCTGTCGAGCAATAATATCGAATAATATTTGTGCATTGGTTTATACAAGTTAAGTAGGTTCTTTATTGTATTACGAAGAGTGGCCTAAACTCACAAACTAAGTAGTGGTACAGTTGGTGTAGATTCACACACTAATGCACCTCAAATACCAGATTCAGAAGGAGGATTTTGTTTATAAGAAATTAATATTCCATTATATAATGTAAATATGAACAGGATTTATAAAAACATATTTTTAGGAGTTTACTTTTTATGTTTATTTAATTTAACTATTTATTTATATTTTATACACGAGTAATACTCATACATCTTACTTCATTGCTAGTCTCATGCATTTTCTTTAAAGTTAATATTTTAATCTCACTTTGAGTCTGTTTTGAATGTTTAAATGACGCAAAACATTGTAAAGAGTTGTAGTGCAACATCAACTCTTAATTAAGGACCTGTCCGGTCGCCAAACTCCGAAAAAGTAAATTGTTTCTTTCCATTTTTCGTCATCGTTTCTTGAAGTAGGGCGAATGGAAAAAATATATGATGGAGTTGAGTAGTTTATGTATCCATTTTGAATTAAATAACTTCGCTCGATAGAAAAGAAATTTGACACTTTAAATTCATCTTATGAAGAAAATGTTTATAGAACATGATTTTAAAATTTACACCACCAACCAATTCAGAAAAAAAAAATGATAAAATTACATAAATTTAATGTTTTACATAACTAATTGTTATTACGAGCCGGCGCGCCTCAGTGCTCCAGCTCTCAACTGCGCCTCGCAGTCCGAGACACTGACACAGCAATTCGTACTGGGGGCTTTAAGCTTAATTCAAGTCAAAGCAAGCTCATTGTCGGAGACGATAACAGTCTTAATGGTCTAATGGTAATGCTTTTTGTTGGTTAATATTCGGCACGAGCTGAATTTTGCAATTGGCATTTATTTCTTTTACTTTAACATAATTGCACATTTAAATCCCGTATACAGCGCAATATCTCCGAAATAATTCACCCGTCTTCCAATCATTACATCCTTGTTACGTTTTCAAACACTAAAATACTAATTAAGGAAAGGTGCAACTATTTCACGTAGACACATTTAGTAGTTGGATAATAAAGTATAAGTGGTTTCCGGGAGATGCGTTGAACTCATAGTTTAAGTTTTACCTTAATTAAAGCATATTCGCGAACTTTTTCCAGCTTCGTTACATTTGGCCATTTATGTAACGACTAGTAATTATATGATGTTAACATATGTAAGGAAACTTGTTAAATTATCTCTAATGTAATGTCAACAGAACTATGAATGTGATGTGTTAAAATGTTGATGCGAGGTGGACAGATACAGAACTTTAAAATGGTAGGATTTTATCTTGGTCACAAATAGGAAATCCCACTCTTTAAACTAAAATAAAATAATCAGAGGAAAAATATTCTAATCTCCCACTATATTGTTTTCTATATTTATTAGAAACGATGCGCTCGCACACCGTCACAAAAAACCGACACCCTGAAGTTACCCAACATTTAATTTTGTGTTATTTAAATAAACCTTATTTAACTAGATAATGCGTTATAATAAAACTGTCAATGTATTAAATACCTTTTTTTCTGTTGTTATTGTCGTTTTTTCTACAAATGTAGAATGAAATGTCTGAAAAATTATTTATCTTGTTACGCCAAAGAAGTATATATTCTAACGCGTGTACATAAGTACACATAGGATTTTTTTTCGGCTACCAGTTCGTCTTTATCTTTTCACCTTGCACGTAGAATCGGAAACATTGTTAACTATTAAAGTAATTAGTTATAAGTAATGAGTACAATTAGATTAAAGCTTATGTCCTGAGGGTGATGCGCTTTGTAGGTGTTCGCACAAAATGCCAGATTTTATGATAGTTTAAATAATATGACACAGTAGAATTTCACTGCATAATAATAATAATATAATGTATCAAAAGTCTTGTGAACGAAATAAACGACAAAATATACATAGTTCAAAAACCCAAAGTTAGGGTCGTTCATCGCCGGTTTGGTTATAACTTTAAAGCTTTTACTGTGTTTCTATATATCTAGACATGTTTATTATTTGTTTAGTGAATTTTATTAGTATATATATTTAAGTACATTTTAAAAATACCTTGAGAGTATGTTTAACTTAAGAGCTCACAAGATTTTCTTTGCATACTGTAATCGTTTATTACAAATTTATTTACAGCTGTGATTAAGTTAGCAAACTTAATTGTTTTGGGCGGTACCCGCTGTTAAACAGTGTAGCGCTTAGATCTGATTTCTTGCCAAATAAATATTGCTTATTGTAACTAAAATTGATCTCAAATAATTTTGGATGCTCGAAGTTTCAATTTGTATTTTTGTGCCTCATTTTATATGAGCTATGGTTATATGTTTGTTTGTCAAAATAGTGAAGTTAGCATTTTATTTATAAAAAAAGTACAATATTTTTGTATTAATACCTAATTAATTTATAACAAATACTATAAGTACGATAGCTTTAAAATGATATTAATTTTGCCTGTTGTGATATTATTCTGTACAAATCATAGCCATAATCACAATAGATTACGTAGTGTAAATGACTTGCCTTCGGAGGAATAAATCATTAAATATTGTTATTCTTTTATTTCAAACCTCTTTCTCTTGGTATTTCCGAAAAACGATGAGGGAAGACATTAATTAGTAGGATTCGAACAAAATCAAAAAATGTTAGTTGATTTTAAAAGAAGCTTTAAGGAATCACGTTCTTTCTGCGATTTTGATTGTGCGAGTTAGCTCTTAGTTTCATTTTATTAAGAAATATTCGTTGCATCTCTGGGTCGCAATTATTGTTAAACCTATCAAAGGTAATAAAAAATTAAATTAATTGTCAATTTCTCTTTAATATCATCGATTACAACAGATTTTACAAAGGACGGCAAAGAACATCAACTAAATTAAATATCTTAATTAACAACGTCCGACTACAAAATATCAAAACTTTTTGGTTACAATTTGGCTGAAAGAGCACTATTCAACATTTCAATCCATTCTAAAAAATATTCCTTAAGTCTAATATGTATTTTAAACGAATTCACTACGTCAGACATTAATACAGGAAATTCTAATACTATGAACATTCAAACTGATGGAGCTTCAATTCATATCCAAGTTAATGCTTTTATAAATCAGTTCATCATAATATTAGAATTTCGAGTTTTTCCATTTTTAATACTTATATTCGATACTTATATACAAGTATTGCACTACATAATATGAAAACACAATAACATGAAGCCGCATTCTCCTAAATAATCGGTTTTTCAAGATCACTTACTAGTCTGTGAAATGCGATTCATGGAACGTCCTGTATTATTAAACTGGACCTTCTATTCGAGAACGAACGCAAAAATGTGTCTTCCATGTTATTGTGCAGTAGTGTATTTACAATTAACATTAATATTTACAAAGCTATCACAATACAGATTTGAGCATAATATTAAAAACATTTAAGTACACAATTTGAGGGAATCTTTGGACACTAGGCCAATTATGTTTACTTCAACGCTCCGTTTTCGCAAAACTATACGGACCGTTACAAAGTTTACATATACAAAATTCACCGCTTAAAACTATATTTCTCGAAGAACTCTGTACAGTGGACAATAACTAGTACTTCAACAATCAATTCAAGAATTGAGCAACAAATGAGCGAAATTTAGTTTAAGAAATAGAAATACTGAAAGAAGAGATTTGAGAAAATAATTTGAAACTTTGGGGTGATTGGATCTAGTTATCTAACAAATGGGTCCAGCCCAATACGCTCAATCAGCTTGCCTGGAGCGAATATATATATAGAACATAAAGAAAATACGGTTTGAAATCTATTGAAAAGAAGCATTCAACTTCTCTGTTTGGTAGAGAGAGTCAAGATCATTCGAAGGTCATAATACTTGTTCAAGATATATTAAATTTTAATTAACCTATATCATAACAGTCATTTATACATTTAAATACTCTTATAGTTAATTTATTTGTCATTACATAGTCGGTTATATTTGGCACTCCATTGAACGCGCTTACTTATGCATAATTTTAACAAATTCACTAGAAATAACTGAAAAAAATATATATTTGTGCTAACGAGAAATAAAAACAGACATTATTTGGTTTCACCAATCGAAAAAAGTTTGAAACAACGTTAATTCATTTTAAATGTTATTTACGCGCTCTGTTTAATTGTCGCTCTTTATATAAAGCTAAAATTAACACAGAATGATGAGACATTTACCACTCCATCCACTTAAACCTGAAACTGGTTTCTCCAAATAATTATTGTATGATTTTTTGCTTTTGAACAGAGCTCCTAATCGGCAGAAATAATATTATGAATGTACATTGTCAAAGGAAAAGTGTAAACTGTCAGTGAATCGAAACTTACGCACTGTGCATTACTGAGATCAGCAAAAACCTAATCGTCTCTAAGCTACGATAATAAAAAAAATTTGAAATCGTCAGAATCGTTAATATCTGCGGAGCTATAAAAATACTTTAAATTCTAAGATCTCTTAGAGGCTAGAGGCTAGCTAACAGGTGCCAGACAGAGGAATGTTATTTCAATACATTTATCACATTTATAAAGTCGCCTGTGTCGTCGTTTGCCCACGTCTTATCTGAAAAGAATATTTTTAATTAGTTCTCGTTGGATGTGTTTTCTTTACGAATTTCAGTTTTGAGCAAATACAAGAACCGTGTGCCCAGAGATTAGGTTAATATTTCGATGTCAAACCTTATTTTATCGAAAGGTTTGTATGTAAATATGTATGTGTGTGTGTATGCCGTGTGTTAGTCACAGTTGAACCCACCGCCTAACGACACAGCGTGGAGAGATGTCAGGGCGCGGCGAGTCTTTTGCAAGTGTCGCAGAGAGCCATCTCCCCCGAGAACCGCTCCACCTGGAAGCAGGCGCTGCTCACGCCCATGGACCGCGCCAGCCTCTGGCACGTGGACAGCACTCCCTCCCATTCCGCCAACTCGTCTGGAATATATTTGATACACAATTATTTAGTAAAATTCACCGAGTCAAATTAATATACACACTGTTAGAAAACCTACCGATGGCAATATGTGCAGTGAGTACAATGTGGTGAGTCGACAAGGCCCACGCGTGGACCGAGTGCACGTGACGCACGCCCGTCACGGCTAATAAGCCGCTCACGCACTCGCGATACCTATCACAAATATTCAAAGATTAAAGAAGAATAACATTATGTGCATCAATATATTTTATTTCATTTCTTTACAACATTTTATCGTTAAATCAATTTTCTATTTTAAGAACACATTAGAATTGCTATGAAAATGACAGTTGTCAAATGTCATTACGACGATAAAATGCATAACTTGGTGTACCTGAAGTCAGAAGGCACAGCCTGCATAAGGATCGCGAGCGCATCTCGCACGACGCGCACGGACGTCAGCAGGACGAGTACGCTGAACACGAACGTACATATGGGATCTATCACCTTTGCTTCTGGCTGAAATGTTACGTTGCTTTAACATACACTACTGAATGAAATAGAATGTATGAAAGAACAAAACTTGTATTTCTATTAAAAACAATATATTTTATTTTCAATAATGTAGGAATATTATCTCACATACGTAAAACTTAATAATGACAGCTGCAAGGAGCACCCCACAGCTCTGAATCAGATCTCCGATCACGTGAATGAGCGCAGCACGGAGGTTTATGTTCCTGCAAATATTATCTGAACTTGTCATTCGTATTTTAGGTTTTTTTATCAGGTAATCCTTCATTTGACCATCAGAACAGCGGTATTTTTTGAGTGAAACATTTAAAGCGATGGCCTGGAGCAGTGTTTCCCAACGTGGGGCCCACGCCCCACAGGGGGGCAATTTGATTGTTAAGGGTTATTCAAAAATTTATTGAAATTATTGTATGTTAATATATATAAATACGGGGTGACATAAGAATTTTATAAAGCACAAAAAAGGTTGCGAGAAACTGGCCTAGAAGCTTTAGCTTTCGATTTTCATGCATGATTCAAATCTCATTTTGTACTATTGGTGGACAATGGTGTTTTTTATCTATGTGCACAATTAACACTCCCTCGTACGTGGAATATCATGAGGGATCCGAAATGCCATAGACCCTTAGAAAGTTGACGTGTGTGTGACAGAAGACTGATGATCACTTCTATTAGAAGGCGAGCTATTCCACGCGTATCAAATAATTTTTTTTTCTAAAAAAAAACCCTAAGTTAATTCCAGGCTACATCTTACAAGCTTCCATCAAACATTAAAATTATATAAAAAATGCTTTATTGTATCTATTGATATAATTATATTTTTAGACATTACTTGGTCAAAGATATATTTTTTCAATTACCTTTGCGAATTCCCTATAACCGTTGTATCACTAGCGCTTAGGTCCTTCATCCTATAATCACCATTGGGAACGTTCCCGTTTGTATGTTTGTGTTCTCTTCGCCGGAATAGCTTAAACCGCTGAGGAGAGGCCTCCGAATGTGTATGTGTGTGTCCGCATGCCGCACCGCCGTGTGTGTGGTGGTGAGCTATGGGAATGTTCCAGAAAGTCTATTACAATCGTAATGTTTAAGATATTTCTCTTCGCTTTCGCTCTCGAAAATGATCACGGGCCATATACACAAATCAAATTATAAGTTAAAACTTTACAATTACAATATCAATAAATTTTCTACATTACTTTATTGAAGGCAAAATAGTATTATTATATTAACTTTTCAATACTTACCGATATCCGAAGCACATCCGTGAAGCACTAAAGCCAGTAACACATTAAAACCGACTCCACAACCAGATACTATCATCATCATGTCTGGTTCGATATTGTATTCGCCGGTGTGTATACGCACGGCGGCCACGTACACGAACACGCCCGTCAACGCCCATATTAACAGCACGGACGCCATTGCACCTAGCACTTCTGGAATAGGTAAAATAAGTGTTTATTAAGTAAAAATATATTTTATACTATTTATTTTTTGTAGAGGATTTAACTATTACCTAAATATTATAGTAACTAAGACCGTAGGATCAATCTATAAGCTTTTTTTTGAATTTCAAGATATCACCTTTCTAGAAATGAAAGGGTCTTACCAGCTCGTCGATATCCGTAAGACATACTGGCGGTGGGAGGTCGGGAAGCACAGCGGAAGGCAAGCAATGCCAACGCGAAACCGCCACAATCGCTTAACATGTGAGCAGCATCGCTCATCACCGAGAGACTGCCGGCGAGATAGCCGCCGATGAGCTCGCATATCTTAAACAAATATTTTCAGCTCAACATAAGTCAAATTGGATAATGAATAGCAAACTATTTACAGAATTAATAAAACTGTGTACAAAACAACGGATCTATCGCTATTAAGTGATCACCCCAGGCAACCCAAATAATAGAAACTAGAAATATAATAATATATAATGTACTTGAGAACGTAATTTTGTGTGTACAAAATTGCATCTGTCTTTAGTATTTTTGTAGGTATATGCACTATCCCACGCAGACAGAGTTACATAATAACACAAAACTCGAAAGTTTTCGTTAACATGTGTATAACAATTACAGGGAGAAAAAAATTATTTCTGCAAAATTATGATTTACGAACAAGTTTAATGTTTTAAAATTTAACAAACAGAGTAGTATGATAGGCTGTGAGTACATCACAGAGTTAATGATAATGTTATCTCCGCATGTCTTTTCCCTGCCTGATGGTATTTTTAGAACATTTTATCGTTTATGTATAAGATAGTAGATTTCAGCTTTGTGTTAGTTTTCAAACTCAACCTCAAACTCAAAATAACTTTATTCATATAGGTAAACAAGTACACTTATGAACGTCAAAAAAGGAGTTAAATTAAGATTTTTTTTGCCCAGTAAATACCAAATACGGGAATCAGGTACTTACCTACTACGTACTGCAAGTATTATTTTACGAAAACTATAACGTACTTTTATATATATAATTTTCCTTGACCAATACATAAAAATCCAAATCCATCAAAAAGGTAAAATAGAAATGAAATTTTTGAAAAAGTTTTTGATAGTGCTAGGTTCTGTAAACCATTTCACTCACCATAAACACGAAACAAAGCACCAAAGCCGCCAGCAGCTGAGGTACAGCACTGGGAGGCTCCGGCCTCTTCCAGTGGCAGTGCTCCTCTGATTCACCAGATGTCGCCACTGTCACCTCAGCGTAACTCTCCTAGAATTTTTTTAATAGATGTAATTACGAAGATTTATGGTATCCATTCTAATTCATCCGATCCTAAAAATTTCTACGAAACTGATCCGTGTAGAAAATATAAGAAGATAATATAGTAACTTATTGTAAGTATGTTGTAAGTGTTCACGGGATTAATCACACAGTAGTTATGAATACTCTATAGTAAAAAGTTGGGCTCAATAGTTTCCAATGGAACTGAATTTCAGCAAACGCAGCAAAGGCAGAGGTGCGGCTGGTGTTCCAATACAATGTGTAATATACCTACAGTCTCAAGAGAGTATTTTCGTATTGGAAGATATCTAAAGCTTTCGAACGTTGAGAAGTGCAAAGAGACATTACATATAATGATGTCTCCCGGGCATGTTTGTTTGTATGAACACAATATCTCAAAAACTACCGAAGGAATTTTAGTTTCCAATATAAGGATTAATGTTAAAGAATTCGCAAAAAGGTAGCATAGTAATAAATAATAATCGTAAAGTGGGCTCAAAATATATTTTCAATAATTCCATGTAACGACAATAATCATAAAACCGCATTTATGATAAAGACGATAAACACGCTCTTGGATAATCCAAACGTAAGAAATATATTCGTAAGTGAATCTCCGATTAATGTTATTTAAAAGATAAACCAAAATCAATAGTGTAGATGTCAGACTTGCGACACGTTTAGCATTAGGTTGGGGAGACAGTGAGAGGGATTGAGACATCTTGGGGCAAGTGATCCCCCATTCGACAACTAAATTTTAAAGATTGCTGCGATTTTTGCCACACTTATATTTGCCAGTCGTCTATAAAGATATGCGTGGAAACTGTATTGGAATTTAATAATTTCCTATTTTGAACGATAAAGCTTCGATTTTATATATTGCATTTTTATGTTTATATTTATAATATGTAATATAGTCTACATTGGTTTATTTAATGCGTTACATTGCAACGTTTGCAGTACGCTCAAGGCCCAAAAACCATGCTAGAGGATTCTTGTTATGTAGGACATTAAAGTCATTAAAGTCTTGCATGTAGGTTGTTACCTAAGATTACAAACTGAAGTGCAACTCCAATGTTTCAGAGTATGTTGCCGAGCGCTAACCGCTCTATCAAAGTCTGAACAAGTATCATCGATCAGAGACTTTTCGCATCAGGTGGATGTTTGAAGTTGTTGTTCTGACTTTTAATTAGTGAACGTTAGTAATCTGTTCATTACAGGCACTTAAATATAAGAATATAGATTTTTATGTGCAAATCAATCAAATAAATAGATCATCAAATTGGGCCAAACTCTAAAAAGCTTACCGCACCGCTTGAATATTACAAGATGAAAAATGGTTAAATTTGATTTCCAGACATTTAGGGCCATCTACAACAGGGATCTTTCATAAACATTTTATAATTCTTAACTGAGCGGCTATAATTATTATTGAAATATGCAGGAACGAAGTGCCACGCGGTATTATAATCTCTAAATTGTTCGCAGATCACTGAGTGGAAGTGATTTGTTTATCGGAAAAGCGTCACAAATCATAATCTGTGGAAAATATTGCCATTTTACACACAGCTTAATTGACGTGACATTTTTGAATATACTTTGAGAGAATGACAGGCAATAGAGACAATACTTTGACCTTATTATTTGGTATAACATATCTAATTCTCGTAATATTTTTAATTGTGTGATGTTATCTTATATGAAGCCAAATATTGAAAAATTAGATTTTGAATTTACATATACGGAAGTTAGTATATTAAAACTAAACTGATATGTATTATATACCAAACATTAATAAAGACTTTGGTAAGTTTGAGATATACCTATAATTAAATATAGCAAGCAATACTAAAACCATTACAAATAAATTTTCCTGTCAATTGAATAAATTAAAATTACTACAAAAATTCTTTCAATTTATAAACGCACACAATAACATTTAAAAAGCGAATGAGTGCTGTATTGCAAAATTGTAACGGCGTCGTTAGTAACGTTATAACGAAATTTTACAGCTGAGTAAGTCGTTACAGTAGTTACGTCCATTTGTTACGTCTTTGTTATTAAAATCTCTCAACTGTTCAACTACTAGTTCTTCAGTGTCACACTTTAAATACATTTTTTACTGGTTACTATTACACATACATACTATTATATACATATCGTAACTTTATCATTATCAGCATTAGCCATGCTGCTCCAACTGGACTGGCATTGCGCATTTTGCTTCCATTAGCAGCCGACATGTTTCGTGATGCCACCGGTACATCTCATCAGTATCCGGTATATCTCCTTTATTTTAATGATATAGAGAAAACATCTGCTATCTTAGAATCTTAAAAAAGTTCTTTCCCTATTCAAAATCTCCAATAGGTACATATCAAAGTATAGTTCAAATCTTTAAACAGCTTTTCAAAGTATTTTCTTGCGAAAATTGCAATCCTGCTGCCAGCCGTTTCACCCCGTTTGAACTGAACTGAGTAGTAAAACGTTCCAATTTCAAATATGTACCGCTCTTTTGGGGATGTAAAGAGGTTTCAATTTATTTGAAAATGTCGTTTCATATTGAAATATTTATCGGGACTTAGTTTTGGAATTTTAATATTAATATTACACGTGTAAAATGATTACAAAGTCATGTAAATTATTTCTTTAGTAACCTTGATAATAATTTGCTCTAAATAGTTATATTTAAGATATTGGATATGCAAATTCTTTGAAGTCTCAAGAATGATAGAAGAAAAAACCATCTCTACGATTGTAATCGGGCTTTGACTCATCGTAATAGCAAAGGAGCATCTACGACCAGGGGTCTCTCTGCATCTTCTACCGCATTTACCCTGAAGAGTGATTAGAAGTGTTCAGATTAATACCTGCAGCTGAAGTTCATCATCGGACTTCAAGGCGGAATACAAAATACCACATACAATACCACCCGCATCACCTCGACAACTGAGCGATTTTGCACCCTACCACTATGTGGAACCAGCTGCCCACTGAAGTATTTCCGAACCAATTCGACTTAGGGTCCTTCAAGAAAAGAGCGTACCAATTCTTATAAGGCAATCGCGAGCCTTCTGGCGTTGAGAGAGTCCATGGGCGGCGGTATCACTTAACATCAGGTGAGCCTCCAGACCCCTGTTATATTAAAAAATAAATAATACATATACTACATATAACAAAAAATACTGGTATTATTCTATCGAGCAACCCACGCTTTTTCACAATAATACCAGTATTTTTTGTTCATTACCATTTTCAGCCTAAATTAGGAATTACTTATTTCACTTTTTAGTTTTATGTGCTTTAAAAGCGTGTTTTTTAGTTTTTTTTAACTATATTTATTTTTTAGTAAAAATTTTTTAATTTTTTTTTCGGATTATTGCATTGTCATCGATCTTTGACAGGTGCGCAAAGTTTGAATTAAATCTGTCCGTTAAAAGTGGGTCAAAATCGAGTCCGAAGGAGTCGGTTACATACATACATACATACAGGTGAAGCTAATATAAAGCGTGTAAAAACATGTGCATCTATTGTGAACATCATAAAAATAAACACTAGTTAATAATAAATTTATAGGTTATATAATAATTGAGAATCTTAGTGGATGACGGTTCTTGTTATTTACTCTACACCCAATAAATTATGAGCAAAATAGAATTGTTTGATACAGTACACTGCAAAACATATATGTATGGTGTATAAGGAAAGGAGCCATCCAACCAGTTTTTATACATCAAGATTAAGCTGTTTTTGCAATGAATCTAAGATACAGAACTAGATAATGTCTAACTGGTCTACGTTACAAAGATATATGAAACAAATAATCATAAAATTATAACAATATAGCTTATTGGTTTTTCTGTAAAGATATGAATAACAGCGAGACTGTCACAATTCTTTGGATTATTTACGTTGATATATTATATTTTAATTGCATAAATAAAATATGTATGCATAATTCAGAGCAGTGTTGGTTTAATGGTTTCAACAAGCGACTCATCCCTGGGGTCGTAGGTTCGATCCCTGGCTGTGCACCAATGGTCTTTCTGTCTAGTTCGGTGAAGGAAAACTTCGTGAGGAAACTGGCGACACTTTTCTTAGTTACTCCTTATAGTAAGTAATTAGCATAATCATTATTTTGCACACTTCGCCTGTCATATAATCATTTCACATTCACCATCTTTATTGTATTATACGTGACATCAGCCAGCAACATAATTTAATCCATAAATAAAATATAACATTTACCTCTACGCGAGATGAGTACTTCAAACAGATTGGAATTCTCTTGTAACTTTGCCAAAATGATATTACATTGGCGAATCGAAATTGAAACCATTCATTATGGACCTCATCCCAACTGACCTATTTTAGGTACCGCAGTTGATTTCGGTGCATTGTGGCTATGAGATGTTATTTGCGATGTCAAAATATATACATATATATATATATATTTGTTTTTTAATGTAATAGGGGGTAAGAGGCTCATCTGAAGTTAAGTGATACCGGCGCCCATGGACACTCACATTGCCAGAAGGCTCGCAAGTGCGTTGCCGGCCTTTTTAGAATAATAATATTCCCTTCCAAATGGCAACTGTTGTATATATACCGGCTGCATAAAAGCGTAAGTTTGAAATCGTTTTTCGTTTAGTTTTTAAAATTAAAACTGTTTTTGGTTAATTTTTTTATCTCTTCGTGTATGTTATGTTTGCCTGTAAGTGCTTGTCACAATAAAAAAATATTTAATTTTTCTTGTACCTATGTATTATGCCGAGCGTTGGCTGGCATTTTTAAATAAATTATTCGAATTCAAATGAAGTATTTAGCGTTTTTGTTTCAAAACTTGAAAAATTCTGAAAGCTTACATTTTTGACAATTGGGAGTCTTACCCTAGATCCTCCAGAATGGCATTACCGAATTGTACAATATAAATAACTTACTAATTCCAGGAAACAGAGAGGTCAGTAACCGAGTAATGAATTTGAAACGAATAACCCATAACAAAAGAACGCGATTTAATCGAACAAAGACTTAAAAAATCAATCAAGTCATCCATGCACAAACAAATTCGTATTAAAAACTTTTTGGTTTTAAAATACAAAATTCAGTTGAGCATAGGACTACAGGTATATCGCCTCGTAAGAGGAGCTAGAATAATTACAATAGTCTAGCATCGATCGGACTATCAGTTACAGCCATTACGACAACAAGTCGGATTAGTGCGACAGGTTTGAGCCTTTTGAGTACTACTATTGATGCACCTTCGTAACCCAAGTTCAATACTGAAGGATAAAAATTTTTAAGACTTATGACGCAGGCAAAAACCACATTCAAAATGGGATTAAGGTTATTACAATTAATAGGCATGGAAGTAACGATTTTGTCATTTTTAATATGAATACAGAGATAAGTGTAGAAAATATATATAATTTGTAATTACCCGTTTAATGAGTTTGTTCATAGTTAAATATTTTGCTCGGCTTTGGGCTATCTTCTTTCCTTTAGCAAATATATTAGCCTCGTAGTTTATCTAAAGAGTATTTTTTTGTGGAAATATCGCTAATAATTGTGTAGACAAAATAAATATACTAGTAACCAATCTAAATAATATTTTTGGAAGTCATGTAATTGTTTTTCAGCCTGCTGATAAAAAATTAATTTTATTTTACTAACCAATCTAAATAATATTTGTTTTTGTGGACAGCTCCGATCTAAATAGTAATTGTTTATTCAAGCCTCGGCTTCTCGGCGTCCTGGTCGCCTTCGGCGACCAAATATTCATATACTAACTCTAACCTAACCAATCTAAATAATATTTTTTTTTGTGGACAGCTCCGATCTAAATAGTAATTGTTTATTCAAGCCTCGGCTTCTCAGCGTCCTGGTCGCCTTCGGCGACCAAATATTCATATACTAACTCTAACCTAACCAATCTAAATAATATTTGTTTTTGTGGACAGCTCCGGCGCTACGGGAAATGCAGCCCCTCCACCCTTGCGTACCAAAGCACAGGCATTTTATTCAAGCCTCCGCAACCTCGGCTTTTTGTCGCCTTCGGCGACCAGCCTCAGCCGCTACAGCTTTCATAATGCCTGTGCTTTGTTACAGCGGGTGGGGGCTGCTCTTCCTCCGCGCCTCCGATTATTTATATACACTCTAGGGGTAAGACAGACAAGACCACGTGGATAGTGGGGTGCTCTGATTCGGTTTTGGGTACTTTTTGGATATTAAAGTAAACACTTTATTCTAGTAAAAATTAAATAATATAGAAAGTTGCAAACAATGAAATACAAGTACTAATTAGAAAATACAGACGAGTAGGTATCGATAATTTCAAAAAAATTCGGAACCCTATAATCTATCAACACGAAATTAGGTTAATTTCAATGTTGATTATTCTATAACTTTAAATTTCAAAAATGAGGAAATAATCGATAAATAAATAAAACGATTATTAACAATCGATAAATTAAAAACACGATTTTTTTAAGTGAACGTCACATCACTTATAACCAATAGAAAAGTAGAAAATGGCGGATTGTTTACAAATTTTAATACATTACACAAAACTTTAAATTTTTTATAAAAATATTTAGACGCGTTTCCGGAGCAAAACTCACTTGGAGGTGTTCCAATGAAGGTCCCCCGGACACTCCTAGATAATTAGTATCGTCAAAAAAGTGCGGTGGTATTTAACACCCAACCCCGGATTAGTGCGACAGGTTTGAGCCGATTACGATGCACTCGTACAAGTTCAATACTGAAGGATAATTTTTAGTTATGACGCAGATGGGTCAAAGGTTAACATGTCATGGAAGGATTGTCATTTTAATATGAATACAGAGATAAGTGTAGAAAAATAATATAATTTGTAAATTCGCGACTTAATGGAGTTTGTTCATAGCAAATATTTTGCTCTTTGGGCTATCTTTTCCTTTAGCAAATATATTAGCCTCGTAGTTTATGTAAAGAGTATTAAATATCGTAATATGTGTAGACAAAATAAATATACAGTACTTCGAAGTCATTACTTGTTTCAGCTGATAAGAAAATTAATTTTATTTTCTAAAATTAAAATTTCCACACTCCCGATATGAATTAATGAAGTCATTATGACTATATATTTCATTAAACTCTGAGTTTAATTAAATATACAATAACGTTTTATATCCTCACGTTAAAAAACTATATTTTTTTTATTACATAAGATATCAACTATTAACTTCTCGTGACTATTATAGTCTGCAATTTTACAATAAGATGCAATTGCTATGACTGTGAACTGTGACAGTTCGTTGGTTACGTAAAAATCTTATCACATGAATTCAATACACATAAGGGTAATACATTTTTTAACAGAACAAAACATTCTTATAAAAAGAAACTAAATAAAATAACCCTCACATTGTAAACAATATTATTTCGATTAAACTAAACAAATCTCAATATGTTTACTTCATACATTGAAGCAAATATTTGAACCACCGACGGGACGTATTGATCAATACAAATCAGTATTTATACAGTAAGACCTCCATAGTTTTAATGTCACTTCATATAATTTAATAATTAAGTAATGGAGGATATGATGAGACTATTTGTATTGTGCATATAAGATAAAGGTCAAACGAAAGATATGACATTATGGTCTAATGTTTAACATAATAGTCGAATGCACAACATGAATAATCTGACGCAAATATTTGCATATTGCTTAATGATCTGATTAATTGTAAGAATAAAGGTCGAAGGGTCGCCGAAATACAATGCAACAGAAAGAAGCTGCGTGGTATGCCACGTCACTTCGACTATTTTGTTATTTTTATGGAGTGTTGTGTATGTTAAACCACACGTAATATATTCATAAATTTGGGATTATTCAATTAGGCCACAACTTTTTTGTACAAACTAAATCGTTATTTAGTTTGGCAAAATCATTATTTTTTAATAATATTAAACATAACGTAATCTAATTCCACAGTACTTACAATTATAAGCGTCTCCATAACTATAATTCGCACTCAAAATCACGGATCACAATTAAAATGGAATGGATATCCGCATTTGTGTACGATGCCCGCATGGAATGAATGTCTGACAAAAATAACTTTTTGTCATGATTTTTTCAAGTACCGTCGCTTTTTTGCAACAAGCCAAATAAAAGCGGGTCGGTGTATTCAGAGAATCATCTAACATTCCATCATTATATTTATAAAAACGAAATAGCTTTCTATTCAGCATCCATTTTTTTGTCCTTATAAATATAGATTTTCGTAATCCTAGCACTAATATGAATAAGACTTTTTGAATTATTTTTACAATGTTTATGTATCAAATTGGATTATCTACATCATAGTCTAAACTTTAGCTTTAATTATAAATTGAATTACAAAAATAAATGGGTTTGTATTTTCAATAATTTAATAATTTACATGTTGGATTAAACATAATACATATTCTCAATATAAGCAAAAACTAACCAGGTTACTTTAAAATATAGTACAAAATCATAAACGCAACGCTTTTTCTCCTTCCGAGGCCTTTTCATCTTTAACCACTTCCTTAAAAACAAAATTATCACTAACATCTCAAATCTCTTTGATATTATGACATTTTGCAATAAGTTGTTAATATTCATTTATTTATTTAATAAAACAACATACAAAAAGATACAAAATTAGAAAATATGATGTCACAAATTTTACAGACATATACATCAATTATATTAGAACATAAAAATATCAAACTAAAATATGAAAAATTAAACACACTTTGTAAATATCATAGGTTGAATATACAAAGTGTAAAGGTCAGATGCATGTTACTAAAAATATAGTTTTAAATGTTACTTGATAGAAATCAACACTTTTTTTAATTTACAAGATATAATTGTCACCAAGAATATTTATATTCCCTTATTCTTAAATTATTATATGAATATGATTCTGTTTTTTATTGTATTTATGTCCATGTTCTCAAAAATTATTTTTCCTAACTAATTTATCAATGAAAAGTCTAATCCACAGGAACAAGACAGTTGATTAAGACAAATAACCTACATAGATCCTACTTTTGGTTATGTAAATACTAAACCCCATATATTTTAACTATTTGGCAAAAATCTAAATTTGTTTTTTTTAATTTACTAAACATAGACAAACAAATATATATTAAAAAAAATTATTTTACATTAACATTTATTTTTTTAACTTAATAATTAATTTACAACATGTAAAAGGCATTCTAAAGAGAAATTAAGATTGTTCATATAATTGAGTACAAACTTTGACCATGAAATGTTTCTAAGCCTTATTAGTTATTAGTAGGTATATTTTATAATTAAAATAAAACAATTTCTAATTATCTAGTGCATACTATAATTAACTCTATGACAAAATTACTTAAGTCACTAAGTACGTCTTTGCATGTAATTTATTTCAACAGAAACTTGTTAGAAAGGAAAATCTAATACCGCTTTTCATAATACATACAGACGTCATTAACTCACCTCGGCTAACAACGGTGCTCGATCCATTTGTTCTGAAGAAGCAAACGCAGACTCATAGTACGCCCCTCGGCTTCTAGCTTCGTATCTGGAGCCACCTTCATCCCACATTCGAGCTTCGAGCTCATCAGACATTCTGGCGCCCTTGATAGCACCGCATATACAATTGTTTACACAGTAAAATACATTTCTGTCATAAAAATTGGCAATAATCCAACACTATCTTGCAGACGATGCATTTGACGATACACTACACATTTATTACTCGCATAACAAATTAAATTAATTGGTAAAAATATTATTTACGATCAATAACAACACAGCATCACACGCGAATTCATTGAAACACTTTGCTTTGACTGAAATCTAAATTGAATATTGATGATATTTTGGTTGTTATGTCAAAACGATGTTCTGTTAGTTGTCAAAGTCAATCTTTCATTAAAGTTTTTTATACGTGCGGCAACAGTGAACAGATGTTTGGTGCGTTCCACTAAGCGCTCACGACGATCACGCTCACGACCGCTGATTTCCCCATTCCACTTGATTGTGAATGTTACTGTCGTTAACTCAAGTGGAATGGATTATGGAGCGTTTCGGGCGTTCATGTAAATATTACAAATGTCAAGTTTGAAAATAGTAGAATTTTAAGGAGGTTAGGTAATCATAAACAATAAGTTTTGATATTTGTGACTTAAATTTATTTATGTTAAAAGTGAAGAATAATTGAATATTTTATAAATAATTTTGGTGAAGTTATCAAACAACTTAAGTTTAAATATAATCGAAATGGCTTTACAATTTCTCTTTTTGAATCAAATAATGTGATTTTTCTTGTCGCCATCTTTAAGCTTTGAATATAATAATATTATTATTTGTCATATTTCAAAAAAAAATTCAAAAATTGCGCCAAATTATTCTCAACGTTCACAACGACCCACCTCTTTAGATGGGTCGTTGTGAGCGTTGCGTGAGCATTAGTCATGACGTCATGAGTGACGTTTTCGCCGTGACCACAACGACCGCGGTCGGTATGTGGAATGGCTAAAGGAGCATTTTGATCGTCGTGAGCGCTTAGTGGAACGCACCAGATTATTGGTAACATTACAAAAAATACTGTGCTCGTATTATTTATTTTTAGCGATTTAATCTTACATAAAATATTATAAAATAAAGAAATAGTGCATATGCACTACATTAGAAGCTGCAGTCCAGAGCTACCTTTGTCGTAACGGTTCTCAGTAAAATCAAGGAAATGTAGTTGAATTATATATGGTGCACTAAGCGCTCACGACGATCAAAATGCTCCTTTAGCCATTCCACATACCGACCGCGGTCGTTGTGGTCACGGCGAAAACGTCACTCATGACGTCATGACTAATGCTCACGCAACGCTCACAACGACCCATCTAAAGAGGTGGGTCGTTGTGAACGTTGAGAATAATTTGGCGCAATTTTTGTAATTTTTTTTGAAATATGACAAATAATAATATTATTATATTCAAAGCTTAAAGATGGCGACAAGAAAAATCACATTATTTGATTCAGAAAGAGAAATTGTAAAGCCATTTCGATTATATTTAAACTTAAGTTGTTTGATAACTTCACCAAAATTATTTATAAAATATTCAATTATTCTTCACTTTTAACATAAATAAATTTAAGTCACAAATATCAAAACTTATTGTTTATGATTACCTAACCTCCTTAAAATTCTATTTTCAACTTGACATTTGTAATATTTACATGAACGCCCGAAACGCTCCATAATCCATTCCACTTGAGTTAACGACAGAAACATTCAAAATCAAGTGGAATGGGGAAATCAGCGGTCGTGAGCGTGATCGTCGTGAGCGCTTAGGGGTGAGATCTATAGTGCGCACTTGGACTTTGCTCAGACTTACCTTACGAAAAACTTTGCTTAGTGTACACTAAGGTTAAACTATGATTTCGTATTTATAGACATTTTAACGGTGAGATTAAGCTAAGCCCAAGCTAAGACAGAAAATGTCAAAATACAAATTGATGTTTCATTTCATGCAATACTTTGTTTATTATCCTTTAAAAAAGTTAACGATAACAAATATTTAAAAATCTAAAACGGTACACATATATCTTCAATTTATTGTTATTTATGTATTCATTTATTTTATTATTGCAATAACTAGAAATTCACGAGTAACCTTTAGAAAATGTATTAATTATTTAAAGATGACAATAATTTTATTACGTAGAACGGATCGCAATGTTTTGACAACAGCAACAGAGCACTTGTATCAACTATCAACAATTGAAAATTTTAAACCACTTACAAGACAATTTATTAAATTGATCTTTCTTCAAAACAACGACTGGCTTTGTGACTTGGACCTGGACCAATCTGGATCGTATACCTACTTAAGACCTACGCATTCCCGAAACACTGTGACGTTTTGTGATTTGGCTTTGTTACATGGACCGCTTGGAAATATCAATATCGAAAGTGACATGATGGAGAGAGAGAGTTCTATCTTCAATAGAAAACATTGAAAGGGTAGGAACTGCAGCCGATATGAATCCACGAATGCCTAAAGTGTTGTATATGTTCGGAACTAATAAAACCAAAATCCTTCCATCCTGTACGGTGAGAATGAATTCAAAAGAAGGAAAGGAAAGGAAGGAAAGATTTTGAAACACACGGTATTAAATGTGATCCTGACGCTGATCATTACAAACTTGCAACCTTATAACAACAGAGGATCGCCAAACCTACCGCAATTGCAAATACTTATTGCATTAAGGCATAAAAATGCAACTGGATGTTTTCAGGTAATATTGTGTTCATAAATATGTATGGTTTTTCAATTTGATATATTATACCTCTTCTCAAATGATTTAAATAGTACATATGTTGAAGACTTTTGTCTTCTGACTTTCAAACATGACATATATGTGACTAATAATACTTTATTGACATTACAGATGGTGTGTGGTGATCTGAACAGCATAAGCCAATCTACAGTCTGTTTAATTATAAATAAAGTCTCTGCAGAGTTGAGTAAATTACTTCCTAGATTTGTAAATTTTCCAAGAAATATGAACACAGCCAAAATGAAGTTTGAAGAATTAGGAAGATCTAATACTCCCCATGGCCTAAACAGTATAATCGGAGCTATTGACTGCACCCATATAAAAATTAATAGACCCAAAGGTATCGCTCACTCTGAAGCATACAGAAATAAAAAAGGGTATTTTTCTGTAAATGTGCAAGCAATAATAGGGCCTGATATGGAAATATTTGCTATAGTGACTAGGTGGCCTGGCAGTTCACACGACAGCAGGATATTTAGAAAATGCCTGTTTTAGTAGGTGACAGCGGTTATCCAGCACTTAACTTCATGTTAACAACACTTTTAAATCCAATGACAAGAGCTGACAATATTTATAATTATTCTCAAATAAGAACTAGGCATATTTTTTAAAGGTTTTTCAGAGTGTGAAAAAGGAAATTTCCATGTTTACAGCTAGGACTACAGGCTAAATTGACAAATACTAGTTATATATAATTATAGCTTGTGCTGTATTGCATAATATAGGTATACAGAGAGGCGATGCTTATGATGATGGTGATCTTGCTGACAGCAGAAGTTGAGTAACACAGAAACAATGAAAGATCTCCTACAGGTCTAGCATTCCGGCAATCTGTGATTGCACAATTTAACTAGGTAATTTGTTTGGTAATAAAGAATATCAAAACAAAACTTGTTTCATTTTAATCATTAATTTTCTGATTCTTTTTTTAAGTGTAATACATATTTCTAATACTAATTTATATTTTTGTTGAAGAAATTCTATTTCTAACAGATTTTTTAATTTCATATGTTCCACTCCTATCTCAAATTTTTTAGGGTAGTCAGGTAATAAATGGTAGAAGATCAGGGAAACGAAAATAACAGATGTGAAGCGAGAGACATCGGTTAGGTTATGGTTTGAATTTCGTTGTCACTATAATATGCCAGGGCTGCCAGGTGACATACAAAATCACACCAGTTATTTTTAAGATTTCTCAAAAATGGGGTTTGAACAATTACATAAATAATATAAATAAACAACAATAAATACCATAATAATGTGTAATTATTTTATTTCATGCATTTCATAGGTATTTATCAAGATCATTTATAATTTCTTTGAATTCAAATTCTATTTTTCCCAAAGTCTATGGAACTCCGATACAAAATGGCAACACCGTTCATTAAAAACCGACAAAAATAAAAAAGTCCAGTAAAAGATATGATGGTAAAGCAAATTTTGGGCCATTATTTTTGTTAGGCTTATAGTCAAAGTTTTTGGTAAGTCGTCGATTTCGTGGACTTGAGATTAAGCTAAGCCAACACTAGGGAGAGATTCGTAGTTTGCTCTATAAATACCGACTGTGTCTTAGCTCGATAGTTAAGTCAGAGCAAAGTCTAAGTGCGCACTATAGATCTCACCCTTAGTGGTAAGTGGAACGCCCCAATAGAGAACACGTATTTGCTTTTTTTTTAATTTTTGTCGGGCCTAATTAATAGTTAGGCTCTAAGCAACTTCTTTCATAGACGAGTTTGAATGAAATGAAATGAAACGTGCCAACACGTGTTAGAGATTCAAACTTGTGTGGCTTATTAATTATAATTATATTAATAAAACCGTTTTAATTAAATTACTCATCTGTCAGTTTTAATTGTAGATCAAACACAAAGTGACAAGAGTGCAATTATTGTGATTTAGAATGTATGAATAAGGGGGATGTGATTCTAAGCTGTTACTGTTTTACTGCCATTTACTATATAGTATGCAAACAAAGTAAAATAACAATATAAATAATTATATTTATTAAAATATTCCTTCACAAATTAAATACAACAATAAAATTATTCACATGGACTCGTCGAGCTTTGATCCGAAATTACAAAAGCTAAAAATAATACACCTCAATACCTAGGAAATAACATTGTATAAAATCCCGATTTGATTTGAAATATTATTCGCACAATTCTCATAAAGAAAACCCAATTCACAAAAGAATATTTATTAATATAAAAGGAGTATTATTTGTTTGCACAGTTTACATTTTTAAATAGTAAGGCTCTATGGATATGTTCTGACCAACTTGGGTTTTTGTTAGTTAGTTTTAAAGTTAAATTCAATCCAATGTTATTCCTATAGTTATAACCATCCGCTCGTACCGTCTAATCACTTTACAAACCGGCATGAATTAGCGAAGAATTTGGAGAAAATGTCTCACTAAAATCTTAGAAGAGAATTGTCAATTTTACTACATTGTTTGTCTTGATGACCTTGGTTTAAATCTGTTTTTATTGACAAAACATATCATAAATAATATATCATAGATTTTTATATATTACATAGATTCCAAAAACTTTGCTAGCTAATAAGAATTTAAAACATAGTCAAAAATACAAAATTGGCTTGTTGCTAAAATATTAATAAATTCAAATTTATTAATATTTTACTTCATTTCCATTAAAAAGGCGGAAAATCGAATGTAATAAGCCTAAAAATTTAATTAAAACTGTAGTAATGGAATGCAGTTTAAGCAAAATTTACAGCCATAGATCAAACAATTTAACATCTTATAATAAAAATATGGACTATATCGGTTCATTAAATTACACATACCACACTGATTCTAAGGTTTGCCATATAAAAAATCTTAATTAAAAATAATGTATAACTTAATACGACTTGCAAACAGACGTAGTCGGAGACGATTTCCTGCAATTATTCTTGATGAACGACCATTTCTTACCGTTTGGCGTTAATATTATTTCCATCCATTGGTTTATATACTGCACCCGTCCACTTTATTAATATTTGAAATATTGTGAGTGGAAACGTTTGATCATCAGTGTGGTACATAAGGAGCGGCAACGAAGTGTTTAGACGACAACTACGAGCGGATATTCCGCGATCATAAGGACGACTCGGGCCCGAAACGAGACGCGATTCCGCCGCAGTCCAAGCGGGGCCAGTCCACGAATTCTTTGCCGTGTCTAAGAAAAAAAAAGTTGTACAAGGTGACTTATGGAAGAGTTAATTCTAATTTGAAGAGGTCAATTTTCAAAGAGTGTAACTTTACGTTTAATTTGACCCAAATTATTACTTTACGTAGTCCAGAAAGTGCATTTGACTTACTTAAATATGAACTTGAGCGTGGCCCCCACGGCGGCCCCCCAGAACATGAGGTAGAGCAGCACTTCCGTGTTGGAGCGGGCCGGCAACGCTGCGCTCGCGCAGAACATCGACACCGCTACTAGGAGCACTGAAGGGAACTGAAAATTATTATAAGTTTAATTTTTAGGAAATAGAACAAAATACCTAGTGATATAAGAGTAAATGGAATCAATGCATTACTTATAATCGTGGTTATTAAACTAAACTAACGATGTCGACTCAAAATGTACTAATTAGTTGTTATAAGGCGTCCTTCGTATTCTTTTACACGATCTGACGTTTTACCTTTCATTGTCTATGGATAAATAATGACTGTTCAGATTTCATTATGACAATTGACCAACTGCTGACACGGCTCACGTGTGTTCCAAATCTAACCAGCAAATAGCAATACACTGACAGCTCACGAGAATAATATCACGTATGTGTGAATTGGTGTAAGATAATGTTTTGACGTGACAACGTCTTATAATTCGATGGAGCCGGCTGCACGCACGAAAAAACATGACTCATGCGGCGTTACCTCGCTCTGAGGCGTTCCATTTAAGGCTTGAAGTGCAAGCGAGAGCGCGAAGCGACAGAGAGGCACAATCGTACTCCGCGCTCTTCAGCGTTCGACATCTGTCTCTCTCCTACTTGAGTGAGCGATTCGTGACGTTGTCACGTTCAACTATCGTCAGTAAACCGACTTTACAGACAACCGATTTTTTTTTGGAACAATAAATCAGATTTGAATATTGCTCTGTCTTATTCATTTATCGTGGTGAGCCTGCCCGATAGCTTTGTGATAATCCCACCACCTTAAACCTTTGATCATACCCGTAGTTAATTTTTTTATATATTCAATATTTATGTGTTAGGGTACGTCTGTAGGGCTTAGGGATCCGTAGGGTTGTTAGGTTCTTACGTCTCACCCTCTCATATATTTAGTCATCTAGTGCAGCTTGCTATCATACACTACATGTACTATACAGATACTTCTGACATTTAATACAGATAAATTTAAACACACATTTCACAGTCCACTGCCCGGTAACTTAACACTGTTTTACAGATAATTTTTGATACAAATGTGCCTCACTATTGCACTTATTAGACAATGCATACCAACTTGTAACCGAAGTATACCAAAATAAAATCTAGCTGTTTTAAGGCATTTAACAGTCTCCATACAACGAGATCACACTTCAGACTACTTACAGTAACATACTTCCAGTTCCTGTCCCGTCTCAGGGGACATTGCACTGTGTTGCCCTCGCCGTCGACCACGACGTATTTACCCAGAAGCAGGTCAATTGAATCCTGCAAAGAAAAGATTTAAAACAGCTCTCATCGAAGTCAAATTTAGGCAGTTTAAGGCCTATAATGACATTTCTAAGAGTATTCAAAATTCCAACTTTAGGAAATTATAGGTGTTTTAACACCTACGGTGCCTCAGATTTGCAGTTCTATATTGCAGCCCAATGCAGCCCAATTTAACAAAACCACGTGTTGGTGAATGTCACTAAAGCAGATCTCACTTTAGTGTTGTTATTGTAACAAATAAAAAATACTTTAAAATCTTTGCGTCATCTGTGAACGTTGTTTTGTTAAAAATTTTAAAGATGCAATCCAATTTGTATTTAACTCGTAGATTTCGATTCTTAATGTGAGGATCATACCCCATTGTTGTTCAATTTCACAAAAAGCACCAACCCTGACGTACCTGTCTAAATCCATCACTAAAGTTGTTCTTATAGTACCGCGTGAGGGAATTAATCCCGTCTCGCACGAGGCCCATGCGCGTGCGTTTGCCCGTACGAGTGAAGTCGGTCTTCAAAGCGCCCGTCCCGGAGTACTGCACCGATATCATGTCGGCGTGGTCGGCCCAAACCTTCGGTTCGTTATCATTTCCAATTAATTAACTTAAATTGTAAAGTTAACATAGAAACATTTAAATCATCGCAATTTAGTGAAACTTCTTTATCGGCGTTGGAAAAAAAATTCCGTCACATTTTTCCGTTACGCGCATCTTTTTCTTGTCCCTACCACGGTTGATTCGAAGAGATTCGAAGCCATTAATAACAAAAATATATAATAATGATAACAATGATAGTAATAATTCTATTACAATTAATGAAATTCTTTAATAATCTTAGTAGTAATAAGGTAAAATGAAATAATTGTATTATTTGAATTCATGTCTATGATAATAAAAGCCTTTTGTTAAACTTTATCTAATTTAACTTTATTTAACCAATTTCTGTAAAGTTGCATATAGTAGATCATTTTTCGAAAAATAAGATCTTAAAGAAGTTTCACTTCATACGTGTGTACACTAGTAAAACGCACACATTTTTTTTTATAGAACAGGGGGACACGGGCAGAGGGCTCACCCGATGTTTAGTGATACCGCCGCCCGTGGAGACTGACATTAGCTAGAAGGCTCACAAGTGCGTTGCCGGCTCTTTAAGAATCGGTACGCTCTTGTCTTGAAGGACCCAAGTCGATCGCAATGCTCAAATGCTGTAGTTACATTTCCCACGGACACTGACATTGCCAGAAGGATCACAAGTGCGTTGCCGGCAATCTAAGCATCAGTATACTCTTTTCTTGAAGGACCCTAAGTGGTTAAGTTACATTTATCTCGCTTCTTATTCACAACCCAATAGAAAATAAGCAAATAACTTACGCCATTAAAGAGCTCATCGAAGTGCGGAACGGGTTCATCGTTATTGGTAATAGAGAGCAGCCTCAGCAGAGCCACCAGATGCCTCTTGGCCAACAAACTCTGCACCACATTGGTCCTGTCCAGGCAGTCCACGCAATTCGTTCGGAACACGCCGGTCTGTCGGAGCAGCACCGTCTCCCCTCGACAGAGGAAGTACCCGAATTCTGTCTGTAATAAATCATTCATCAGTAAAGATACATTATTGGACCGGAATTGAATATAAATCCAATAACGCTCTAACTCACCTGCTCGTGCGCAACTCTATCGAGTAAAACGGACAGTCTATCGTAGCGCATCCCGCGACACTCCGCGTGGAAGTCGAAAGGTTCGTACCGCACTGCGGGTAATGCCGCCGCCGCCACGGCCGCCCGATAACCGCGCTCTAGCGACTCTTCTTTGCCGCGTTGGTCAATCTGTTAAAATATCATAAATAAAATACCATATAAAAATAGCTCAAGAAAGAAAGGCATAACCACACTTACCAGATTCAGTAAGACTTGATCCCCGTATCTCTGCAGCTGATCCCTCAAGTGCTTGGTATAAGCCGCTAAGTGGTCCTCGACGGCCAGAGACATCGAGGGCTTATATTTTAGATCAGGGTACTGACTCCAGTACAAAGGAATGGACCCTCGGGTTTGAACGAACGAGGACTTTTCACCTCCTCTTTCGACTATCTGTTCTGTTTCTACGAAGTTTGCTACGTTACCCTGAAACATAGCATTGTCTTTTATTTATTCTTTAGTTATTATTATCAATAATAATTATTAAATAACAAATACATACCTGACTATCAATTCCACGCATAAACAATCTGGTGCCAGCTCTCTCGACGCTGCGTCTCGAGACAAGGGTCCATGTTAGCTGGTGCCCGCTTATCATCACACGGTTTATTGCAATAACTGTTATTAGTTAGGGGATTAATTGCCAACAAAATTAGTAGGAGTAATATTTGTAGTAAAATTGTCCACAGGTATACATAAAGGTATTAGATACCTTGGGCATGACTGCACTAGAGAAAAAACTTATTGTATTATATGTATAATGTATATAGAACTAGGTGCTTGGACAAAAAAATATATTTTCTTCTTCTCTATTATAATGTTTATAATATTCCATTACTATTTTTGATAATCTTATATTCTTAAAATTGTTAAAAAGGATACATCCATGCATAATCGGCAAGTTGAATCTTGCAAACATTTGTTGGGAATAACCTTTCAAAAGGTGTCCATTCCAAACAAAGCGAGGGTCTGCACGACTTTGAAGTGACATCTGAAACCAAAAGAAAAAAACTCAAAGCCATCTGATGCTTGTGCCTCATTGGTAAATGGTAAACATACTCTGTCACTTTACCAACAGTCAAAAAAAGGGAAGAAACAAACAATGAAACATGGTTCAAACTTAAGTGCAGCAGAAAAACATAAATTTTACTTCAACCTGAATTGTTGTAAATCTGTAATACTAAAATATGGATAAATTTGCGAAGCTGTTTCTAATCTTAAAAATTTATAACTGGTTTAAAAAATAATAATGATATTAAATATAATATTATATATTTCTATAGTTACCTTGTGAAAATCTGGTGAAACAGAATGTAATCTTTGCATTGTGTGAGTGAGGTCATAGCTGTATGAGAAATATATTCCAGGGCTTCGAGGGCTGCACGTAGCAGGCGTTCATATGTGTTGTTATCATCTATCTGTTTTTTAAGACATTGCATATAGTAATTCTTTATTGAATTTATCAATACAAAATTACAATTATCAAATTGACATTATTTTAGTAGAAGTATTTGTTCTCGTACAGAATTGTACTTTATTTATCTCATTATGATATCAAAAGATAATATTTTTACTTTTAGTAAGTTTCAATTTACATTGATATAAAATACTATAGTTACAGTCACAAAAAGAATATTGAGTATTCAACAAACCTGTTTACTAGTAAGATGTGTAGTTGATCTAGCATAAGGTATGATATCTGATCCAGCCATTTCATATATATCATGTCCATTTATTTGCCCCACCTAGAAATATATCAGTATTTCAATGTGAAAAAGACTATAAGAGATTTATGTAAATATTACTTATTTACATACCAATGTCCTATATTTAGCAACAACTAAATATAATCCAGAAATCAATTTGATTGTGCCCAAAAATCCACACACTGGTTTATAAGCATTTGCTGGGATGGGTATTTTCACTGTATTTATTTCTGCAAGTTAAGTGTTGTTAATCAATAGCAATTCTCATAAATATACTTCAAATTGGTCTAAACACACATACCTCTTACGTAAGCTTCACCTGAGACTCTATCAATAACTAAAATCTCTGTTGGATTTATTGTTGGTTCTAAGTAGAACTTATCTGATGTTGTATACCTAAAAATATTTAATTACATAAATTAAAAATTAACCATATAGTGAAAAATACATACCAGTTACATAGGAATCAAATATATATTTATTTAAACTGTATTAATATGTACCTATAATTGTGTTGAGGTGATATTCATAATAAGGATTTAAATAATCTGTACTCAGCTTACCTACTCTACTATATACACAGAGAAAGACAACTTTTTTATCTAGGTAATCCTATTTAGTCATAAATGTAATTTATTTTCCATTCGTATGGTAAGAAGTATGAATTGACACACAATTGTTTTGACAATTAGTTACTTACAGTTAGCTACTAGTTCCTCTAGAAACTACATAAATATTAAGGAGATAAAAATTATATGCAATAAATAGCTTTGAATTACTTTATGTTTTTATGCTAAATGTCTGTAATTGTAGGAATAATTACTTGTGGAACAAGGAGCATAAAAAAATATCAAACAGGTTTTTAAAGCTAAGGTGAAGAGGAAGAAAATTATTGAAATCTGTTGAGTAGTTTAGTAAACCCATTTTTTTAGTATTATTAATCATAAGGCGAGTAAATCATCAGAAAATAGTTAGTGATACAGGACAGTGACAGGGAACGCTCAATGTGAATATATAATTTCTTGATAAATCAATATATGTAATTAGAAAAAGGTAGTAATAACTCACAGCTTTATATCATCGTGAATTTTCGTTTGATCGGCCATGCTGATAATGTAAGCAGTTGGATATAGTAAATTTTACACTTATATAATTGAAAATTATTTTTTCTTGGGGATGTAGAAAACATTTAGTTACGAAACGTGAGTAAATCGCAAATTTATCAGATTTTTCTCCAGGCTGTAGTTTTTGTTGGCTGATGGTAACAGTGTTGCCAACTTTGATTTTCAGAATTGGTAAAAATATAAAAAGTTTGCGACCACAGATGGTCGCTTGGGGCAAGACCCGCACAGTTATTTGATTTTTGCTTTATTTTTTATTCATAATTAATTGTTCCTCCTAAGTAATTTATTTATATTTTGCAATAGCAATCAACTATCATATCAATTGACATGTATGAAATCTGCCTTAAGCTAACAATTAATTAGTACTTAATAAACTACATTAATGTGTGCATAGTGTGTTATGTATGACGTTCGACACATAGCTCTGGTACGAGAGCTTGGAATTTGGATACACTGGCGTAAGACTTTCGAAAGCTCTATTTCCGTGCAGAAACTGACCGCACCAGAAACAGATGCACAGTTGGTTCCTCCGCCAGAAAAATGGGACAGCATAAAGTTTCAGCTTTTGGTAAATCATATATCACCAAATATCTACACATATATAAGCGAAGCCACGGACCACGAAGATGCGATCACAATACTACAAAAACTGTATGTAAAACCAAAAAAATCTGATTTATGCTAGACACATGTCTACACACAACAAGGAAACATCGACCAGAAGAAAGTATTGACACATATTTACAAGCTTTGAAACTACTTTCTAAAGGTTGTGACTTTGCTGCTGTTGATGCAGAAACAAACAAAAACTATAGCGTGCGTGATGCTATCATATCCGGTATACCATCGTATAAAATCAGACAAAGGCTTTTAGAAAACTTAACTCTAAGACTTGAGTTGTGATCAAGTTTACAACCAAGCACTCTTTCTAGAACTGCAGAGATCAGCCCTCAAAGCTTCAATACTGTTGCCAAAAAAGAATATCCACATCGGTCTCTCTGAAACCACAAACTGTGCACGACGTGACCTGCTCTTCTGTTAATAATCCTCAACGATGAAAAGTACTAATAACAAAAAGTGAAACTCATAGAAAACGCCTTGTGATTGATAACTCTCAGACAATTAATCGTTACACAGAACTCGACGCGAACTGTTATATCATAGCCTTGCACCCTATCTGGCTGACACACTAGTATCTTTTGTCTAGTCAGCATTTCCCACCGAGAGGTGAAACAATAACTAAATTATGAAATCAGTTCAGTATCATACTTCGTCGCGGAAACACATTTATTGGTTTTCATTTTATTCTGTTCGTATAATTAATTAATATTCAAATAAAAGTTCAATTGATTGTATCGTGAACTCATTTTTCTTTTTTTAAAAACCCAATTACTGGGATTCTTCTAACAGTACCCTTTACCAAACATTGAGGACTTAGTTTCGAAAGTGCCAAAGAATACATTTTTCAGCCTGATATACCTGAAAAGCGCGTACAATCAAGTACCTATATGACCCGAAGAAAGGAAATTTACCGCTTTTGAAACGCTGGGAAATTTGTACCAGTTCAGGCGTATTTCTTTTGTAGTAACAAATTGTGTTTCGTGCTTCCAACGAACAATCGATTGGATTATAAGAAAAGAAAAACTTCAAAACACTTATGCGTATCTTGATGATATAACTATTTCTGGCCGTACTCTTGAAGAACACGATCATAACTTTGAAAGTTTTATGAATGCTGCAAAGAAATACGGTTTAACACTGAATATACAAAAATGCAAATTTTCTCAAGAGTCAATTAATATTCTAGGCTGTAATATTCAAAACCACATAATTAAACCTGACAGTGAGCGACTCAAGCCTCTGATTAATTGACCTCCACCAAACGATTTACCGACTTTAAGAAGGACACTCGGCATGTTCGCACATTATTCTAAGTAGATTCCAAACTTTTTTGAACAGATCCACTCACTTGCTAATACAACTTTCCGCTAACAAGCGAGCAAATTAGATGTTTCGAAGGCCTCAAAAATGATATCGCAAAGTCTTATATACATGCAATTGTTGAAAATATACCTTTTACAGTCGAAACTGACGCTTCCGATCATTCCATTTCAGCAGTACTTACGCAAAATTCTAGACAAGTGGCGTTTTTCTCAAACGAACAAAACCATTCCGCTATTGAAAAAGAAGAAATGGAGACATTTACTTATTGGAAGACACTTTAAGTTGGTAACTGACCAACGCTCGGTTTCTTTTATGTTTAATATGAAATATACAAGTAAGATACAGAATGAAAAGATTCAAAGATGGCGAATAGAACTTGCTGCTTTCGAATACGATATTATATACAGAGCGAGAGAACTGGGCTGCTGATGCACTATCCCGAGTTTGTGCCACTGTAGAAACACGTACTGCAAAACTTTTCTCGCTGCATGAGGCTCTTTGTCATCCAGGAGTAACGAGAATGTTTCACCGTTTCGCTCTAAAAACCATCCCTATTCCACTGAATAAGTCAAAACAATAACTAAATCTTTTCGAACCTGCTCTGAAGTAAAACCTAGATTCTTTCGAAATACCTTTAATGACCAGAGGAAACTTGTTAAAGTGACGGCTGCTTTTGAACGCCTTAGCATATATTTTAAACCAGTTCCAACAAACAATAATAATAAATTCATACTTATTAATTTATAAACGTGACGAATTTTCACGTTTCCAGTTTGCTTTCCCATGCTCAGATGTAAGCTCAAAAACAGTGATTAAACACCTCAACAACTTGTTTATGATATTCGGCATGCCTTCTTACGTTCATTCCGATCGCGGAACAGCATTTCTTTCTGCCGAAGTACAGGAATTTTTACATGTTCGAGGTATTGCCACTACTGTAGTTCTACTACAGCTTATAACCCCCAAGGTAACGGTCAAGTAGAAAAATTTAATTCTACTCTTGGAGAACGATTCTTTTGGCGCTGCAGACGAAGAGTCTTTCTGTAGAAAATTGGGAGCAAGTATTACCACAAGCCTTACATTGAATTCGATCATTACTTTGTACAGCCATAAATTGTACTCCACATGAAAGAATGTTTAGACACCCACGAAGATCTACTACCGGCAAGTCTGTTCCATCGGCTTACAAATTCTGGACAAGACTTGATGAAGAAATTTAATCGTACAAATAAATATCAGCTATTAGTAGAAGAGGTTGAATTGATACACAGCAATCCTGATTTTTCATACATTCGGTTCCCAGATGGCCGAGAAACAACGGTGTCGAATCGTCATATAGCACCATTGGTTTCAAAAGCAGTAGATCTGCAAATAGATAATGAACACACTAATGATTATCATAATGTTGCAGATCCACTTCCGGAAACAGAAGACCAAAACTTGGAGATTCCTTCATCTAATGAGATGGGACCTGTGGTACTTGATAATAGCAGAGAGCTAGAGACCGAGTTACCATCATCACCATCGCCAGAGCCAACACTTCGTAGATCTGGCCGCGTCCGTAAAACACCAGAATTTTTATTTAGGAAGATTATGTTTTATAATAATAAAGAGTTCCGTATGCTATTGTATCTTTTTGTACAAAGCCTAATCTGGAGGAAATTGTACTCTTCCTTAACCTGAAGGAAGGACCCGTGACTAGTTTTAATACTGCCTTGCTTTACTACTCTAGAGTCTGGTGCCGATATGCACGCGAAAACATTTTGCTAGCGATATTCATGGTGATCGCTTGGTCGTATTACTGTATATTGCTTTATTAAATATTAAAATATTAATGCTAAATGCAACTTTCCAAGAAAACTCCTCATTGACTAATTTTTTTATCTTAACCATACTTGCCATTTTCCTTAGGAGCTCTAGTTTTCCTATTTTTGAGTTAATTCATTCATTCCCATGTTAAAAAAACGTTTACTTGTTAAACGTTACAATAATGGTGTAAGTGTAGATGTAGTCATAATATTATATTCTACAAATGTTGCTAAATAATATTTATTTATTTTAATTAAAGGATAGTTCTTATAAATACAGAGTTAAATATATAGAGATGGTTACACTAATTGTTGACTCATGTACACATTTGAAATACGCAAATGACATATTATGTGTTCCGTTTGACGTCCGAGGTCCATTATGAGAGTACATCGTTTCCTTTTCCGCCCAAATCGCTAGTATCCGACCTTTTCCCACCACGTGACACCGCCGCCAGCGCCCAGCGTTTGAAACTGGAACTAACTTTTTATCGCGCTAAAGCAAGCCGCCAGAGTTCTTGTTCATTGTTGCGTCGTTTTTCGTCTTGCACAGTCGCTAGTGCACACTTAAAAACGAATCAGTATATTCAAAGTTATATCGACCTAAAATTTATTTTGAAAGTGGAAATAATTATTTCGTAAAATGGTTAACTCGGTTTTCACGTTAAAAATATAAAATGGCTAATGAAAGTGCTAAAATCGGTGTAAATGTGTTGGCCACGCGGTCAAACGTGCCTCACCCGCGCTTTACAAAGCCGTCTCATATCACGGGAGATATTGTCTCTGCAAGTTCGGACAAGCCGAGTTCTTCGCAAAGTTCGAGTACGAGTGAAGAGGATGAGGAACCGCCGCCACAACAAAGAAGAAATAACCACGTGCGCAGTAATTCACGTGATTATTCTCAGGTTTGAGCAATTGTCGCAGTAATTGGTGAGTCACCTTAATAATACTTTTTTACAATTATGCTGCGTCCTCTAGCATGTTACATAAAGTGACCGAATCTAATAATGCAAACCTACACGACCCTTTTTTGAACCATGCGGCTGTAGTTAATGATATTGCTCAGTTAGACGTGTCGGTTCAAGAACCTCCGAGTTATAAATTATAATATTAATTTCAATGCAGAGGTTTTTACATTTCTGATTTGAACTGTGTACGTTATATTGATATACAAAAGAAATACGTTGCTTTTACCGATTTAAAAATGAGTTTATCAATAAAGCGTTACGT